TACACCATACACTAGACACTAGACTCGTCCCCCATCATCCAACACAGCCCCTGAGCACGCAGCTGCCCTGCTGCACCCCTCTCGTTCCCTCAGTGCCCCTGAACCCCTGTACCCCACAGTGTGTGCCCTCTTCAGCCCCTGCTCCTCGAACCACCGTCCCATCCCTTTGCACACAAGCCCCGGAGCTCCCCTGCCCCAGCCCTCTCTCCTGCTCACAGCCTGTGCTGGTGCCAGTGCTGTGGGGACTGGGGGACTCCTGGGAAGGGGGGACACCTGGCAGAGCCCACGGGGATCGGCACTGCTGCAGGTGCTGTGGGAATGAAGACACTCTGGGCCACGGTGGTTTATGGCCAGCCCCGTGTGCCCCAAATGATGAAGGCGAGGAGGGTAACAAGGGCAAGGTAGATGAGGATGGTGAGGAAGACGAGGAGGGTGAAGGGGCTTGTGGAGCTTCCAGCAGGTTCGGGAGCTGGCACAGTCCAGCAGGGGACAGTTCACGCCCGTGTTTCCTCCTCTGCCGACGGTTCTTATCGTTTGTGTTTGGGGGAGATTAGCTCGGTCTGGCACCAATTCAGCGTGGGGAGGGAGTGGGGAGGGACGAGGGGGGGCTGATCTTCTGGGAAACATCGGCGGGACAGCCTGTGTGCATCGGGGGGAAGCTGCCAAGGCAGCAGAACACTTCAGACCGGTGGCACAAGAATAAATGGGTGTAAACGCACATGAGCACAGTGGGATGTAGACTGGGATGTGTCTGAGGATGGAGGAAAAGCGCTGTGGGTTCACCTGTAGGAGCAGGGACCAGCGTGGCTGGGGACTGTCAGCCCTGTTTGTGTGCAGGCAGGGTCCCTGCACACCCCATACCTGCCTTCTGCCTGTACTTGGGCACCCCTCTCCTGCAGGACCTCATCTCCCTCCTCCGGTATCACAGCACAGAGCAAACCCAGGGCTAGTTTAGTGTCTCACAGCCCATCAACCGTGATCAGGGATTTTTTTAAATTCAGGTTCCAAAGCCTTGAAACCAGCGTCCCTGTGCTGGACTGCAGCTCTGCACACCCCACTCCAAGCCTGCCCGTGTCCCAGGGGAGGTGCAGACACCTGGGATGGGTGCAGGGGCTCTCCCCTGGCAGCCAGCTGGGATTTGTGGCTCAGGGGCTTTGTGCTTAATGATCTGTGGTGGATTTTTTTTACTCCCATGAATTCTCTGATTGCTTTTGGAGCTCATGCAAGCAACTTAGCTCCCACAGCATCCCTAATAAAGTCCTAAACAGCTAGCTGTCTTGATAGATGGAGACAGGCAGGATTTATCCTCCCTCCCCACCCCGAGAATCCTTCAAAGGGACGCAAGAGCCAAATTTGTCCTGGCACAGCCTTTCCCCTGCTCCCTGGAGGGGTGAAGGCACAGCCAGTGCCAGGCTGAGCTACAGTCCAGGGGTCCTGCTGTCGGCTGCATCCCATGCTGGGGAGGGGTGGAAGCAGGTAGGACGCCGAGGGACACCCAGGGAGCCCATGGCCAGTGCTGCCCTTCCTGTACCACAGCTGGTCTCACTGGTAGCCCCCTCCCCCCGGCAGGAGCACTGCCACTCTCCAGCCCACCCCAGCCCTCGGCCCCGGCACAGACGGACTCAGAGCTGCGGCAAAAGAGTCTTTATTGGCGGCACACGGGCACAGGTGGCAGCTCATCTGTACTTCTCAGCCAGCACGGAGGCCACGGCCGACATGAACTTGTCGACGGCAGAGTGGATCTGGGGGGTGTAGTCCTTCCCCAGGTGCACGGCCAGCACCACCTGGAGGCACTGTGCCAGCAGCTGCGAGGAAAAACGGGGCTAAGAACCGCTGCTACAGCCCCAGGGCCCCTTCCCAGTCCCTGTCCCCCATCCCCTGTCCCCCATCCTGATCCCTGTCCACTGTCCCTCATCCTCTGTTTCCTGTCCCTATCCCCCATCCTGATCCCCATCAGCCACCTCCTCTCCCCCATCCTCTATTCCCCATCCCCATCCCTCATCCCCTGTCCCCCATCCTGATCCCAATCTTCCATCCCCTGTCCCCCATTCCCCATCCCCATCCCTGTCCCCCACCCCTGCCTCCTGTCCCCGCCTGCCTTGAAGTTGACGGGGTCCACACGCAGGTTGTAGGCGTGCAGGTTGCTGAGCTCAGACAGAGCCTGGCTCAGGTTGTCCAGGTTCTTGACGGCGGTGCCCAGGGCAGCCACCACCTTCTTGCCATGGCCACGGATCTGGTCAGAGCCATGGTGCAGGTCGAAGTGGGGGAAGTAGGTCTTGGTCGAGGGGTAGGCGGCGAACATCCTGGGGGAGCGGGACAGTCAGTGGGGCTCCCTGGGGGAGCGGGACAGTCAGTGGGGCTCGCCCAGCCGGACCCCCCACACCGGCCCCTCCGTGGGGCTCCCACCCACTCATCCCCTTTGCCCAGAGGGTCCCCAAGCCTGCACCTCTCCAGGGTCTCGGCTCCAACATCCTCCTGGTGGCCGGACACCTTCTCCCAGACCTGCTGGACCAGCTTCTTGTCCTCGGCAGTCAGCATGGCGGCGGTTGGAGTAGGCAGGGGTTGGTGGCAGCAGCACCCCTGGGGACGCCCTCTTATAGCTGCCTGCACCCCTGCCTGGCCTTATCTTATCACACCGAGGGGCGGGGCACGGCTGGGGGGCTGCTGGCTAGCCCTAAGGAGGCCCTGGGGGGCTCGGCTACCCTGCCCTGCCCCACTGTACCAGCCCCACACCAGGCTGGGGGCAGCACCTTGCCAGGCTGCCCCATGGGGATGTCCCGTGGGTGTCACAGCCTTGTCTGCCCCGGCCAGAATGTCCTCAAGCCTCCTGTTGTGACCCACCAGTCCCCCTGGATGGGCCAGGGCCCTGCCTGGCTCTGTGGGTGTTGGGGTGAATCCCACAAGTGTCCCTAGTCCTATGTCCTCCAGACTCCGGCACATCCAGCCCCTCTCTGCCCCAAGGGACCCCATGGCCTCTGAGTATGAGCCTTGGGTCATGCTGGGGGTCTGCCATGAGAAACACCATTCCTCCAGCAGCCTGGAGACACCTGGGCAGGGAAGGGGATGTGCCTGAGGATGGAGGGTAAGCGCTGTGACCCAGAGTCTGTCCTGCGATGCTTGTCAGGCCTGGGCTCCTTCCCTTCTTCCCACCATGACACGTGCTCCTGCCTCTCCCCATAAACACTGGGACATCTGGTAAGGGTACATGGTGGTTGGTCATACAACCATAGAATTATGGAATAATAGAATCATTCAGGTTGGAAAATCCCTCTATTAAGTCCAACCATTAACCCAGCACTGCCAAGGCCAACACTAAACCATGTCCCCAGGTGCCACACCTACACACCTTCTAAATCCCTCCAGGGATAGTGGCTTCATTACTGCCCTGGGCAGCCTGTTCCGGGGCTTGACAACCCTTTCCACTAAGCAATTTTTCCTAATATCCAACCTAAACCTCCCCTAGTGCAACTTGAGGCCATCTCCTCTGACTGCCACATCCTTCTCTCAGCCCCTGGGACACACCAGATGCTGACCTACCACCTAAGTCATAGATTTAAACCTGTAAATTAGCCAAGACCCACAGATGCAGAATGTTTTAAAAGCTGCTGTGGCACACTGAGTGACAGGTTTAGAGCCATTTGGTGGCCTGAGAGCTTCTGCACCACCTTTTTCCCCCTTTTCCAAATGCAGTCCCTAAATTCCATGAATGAGACAAGAATCACTGCTTGCAGTGCCAGCTCAGGCTGTCTAGCAGAGCAGGCTTAAGGCTTTGCACCCACCTTTTCATGTCAGAAGTCCTCTGAGACAGGAGCTCACATGGTGCTGTGCTTAATTTTTTTGGCCAAACTGGCCCTGGTAACAGGCTGATGTTCCAGATTTTTCTGAGCAGCATTTGCACAGAATCAAGGCTGTCTCTGCTTTTCACTCTTCCCCCACCCAGGGAATAATTGATTTTAGGCTAGTGGGAGGGGAGACAACCAGATGAGCCCAACTAACCAAAAAGGTATTTCATACCATATAACCCCATGCTCAGCAATAAAAGGAAAAAGAGAGGGTTTAAGGGAGTTTTAGGGGGGTTAACCTTCTTTTTTGCTCAGGAACTGGTTGGGTATGAGTTTACCCATGAAATGAAGTGATTGCCTCTGCATCAACTGTTTTGTTTTGTTTTCTTCTCTCTTCTTCCACTTATTCTTCACTTATTAAACAATAATTTCTGTTCGTTTGATCTTGACCCCCAATTTTTCTTGCTTTTATTCTTCCTTCCTTTTTCTCCTCATCCAATTGAAGGGGGGCAGTGAGTGAGTGAGTGACTGTGTAGTGCTTGGCTGCCTGCTGGGGTTAACCCATAACAGGTATGTATGGAGAATCCCTCATCTTCCCAAATTTCAAATCCATGTAAAATTCCCCATGTTAAAATCAGAGATGTCAAGCTGAGGGGATGGTCCCTTTAGCAAACCTGTCTAGCAGGTGTTCATGAAGCACATTAGATACCACGTCCATACCCCATGGACAGAGGCATGAGAAGACAATGCCCAGCATCACAACACATGGCAATGCAGGTTTTGTTCCCAACAGGCTGGGATGGGTTTTGGATAGGTCTAACAAAAAGCCTGGGCCTGTTCCATATCCTAACAGGGCAAAAGACTCTTTCCTGGTCAGCCTGTAAACAGTCTGTGGTGGATATACCTTGGTGAGCAGCAGCAGCCACAGGGCTGTAGCCTGTTCTGGGCACCTGTTCAATGGTGTGTTGTTCCTGCTGAATATTACATTATTCCCACTGAATTTGTACATCTTAGCACATGAATTGGTATATTAATTCATGGGTATGTGAATTAGTACATGAATTTACAAAGCTTACTCTTTCCCCCTCCATTTCAGAACACCCCTGCCTGCACAGTCAGGTGCAGGTGGCACACATGGAGATAAAAGCACAGAGACCATTGCTCACATTTGAATTATTTATTGGGTTTTGCAGATGACCAAACCCCCCTGCAGAGGGGATTTGAGAGGGCTGCCTAGGAAGGGGTGATTCCCCAGAGCCTGGGATGTGCCTCCCTCACCCTCTGTGGAGGCCATTTATCTGTACTTCTCAGTCAGGACAGAGGAAACACTGGACAGGAACTTGTCCCATGCAGCATGAACTTCTGGGGTGAAGTCACTGGGATAGCGGGCAGCCACGGAGCACAGGATACAGTGGGAAAGCAGCTGTAGGGAAAACCAGGATTAAATCCATCATAATCAGTATCAGATGTTAGTCTAGGGGTCTGCAATGGAGTTTGGGCCCAGCATGCTCTGGGATGACAACTACATGTCTCAACCAAAAGGGGAAAAGGCACTGCTTGCTCCCACTCCCTCTTCCAATTGTCCCTTCCTTCCTCACCAAAGGGAAATGCAACAAAGTGGAAATGTTTAGAATTTATTAAGGCTTTGTTCGAGGTGATGTAGATTGATGTGTGAGGGGGATTCATGAATTACAGCAAAGGCAGCAGAGACTCGAGTCTGTCTAACACAAACCATAGGAGCCCCCTGAGCAGTTCTTTGCCTACACTGGGCCAGATCTTTCACTAAAAGATCCAATCAGGTTAAAAATCAGGTGGACAACACGCTGTGCAGTGCAGTCAGGGATCAAGCTGCCATTGGCCCCACTGTGGTCTCTAATTCTGGGATGGCAGTTTCCCCCCCCGGCAGTGTCCGTGCTCCCTCACCTTGAAGTTCACGGGGTCCACGCGGAGGACGTAAGCGTGCAGCTCGCTGAGCTTGGCCAAAGCTCCTCGAATGTCATCAACGTGCTTCACGGCTTCCCCCACGGCGTTCATGACCTTGGAGCCGTGGCCACGAAGCTGAGCCGAGCCTTGGCTGAGGTCGAAGTGAGGGAAGTAGGTTTTCGTCTGGGGGTAGCTGGAGAAAAGCCTGGAGGAGGACACGAGAATGAGGTTCAGCAGTGGAAATGGCATCCGTGAGGTGGTAAAAACCCTGAGCAAGTGCAGTGTAAACCTTCAGCTCCTTCAGAGCTTTGGGGGCTTGAAGTTTGCATTGGGAAGGTCTTTCTGCTCTTAAGCTCTCCTGCAGCACATGCAGATTGGACAGCAGGCTAATCTGTGCACACTTGAGAAGAATTAAATAATTTAAAACCTAATGTATTTATGCTTTTGTTTGTTTTTAATAAGAAATAGCCCCAAATTGTACCAAATTTCCTCTCGTACACTACAACCCAGTTTCCAGGACCTTCAAACTAAAATGAGCTGAACAAACCAGTATCAGTGTGAGTGATACTCAGAGTCCTGGAAGGAGAATCACAATACTTTATAGTGAGCTGTAAATAAAATTTAAATAACATGGAATAAGATAAGAATTTCTGAACAATTTCCAGACTATTATCTCTTTTTTGCCAGCATGCTTAATTGGTATGAATCTTGGATTACTGTGTGGTGCTGCATGCAGGGCATCCAGTTGTCTTTTTTTCCTAAGGGTTTGTTACTTATCAACTGGAACAATGAGATCTGAGTATTCAGTGAATTTAGTGGATAGCTATTATTTTAGAAATAGTAAGAGAAAGTGCATCATTTGTACAATAAACCACTTCAAGTTCATCCCCTAACAGGGATAATGCTGTTTCAGGACACTGAGTATAAATGACTTTGAATTCCTTCCCAGCGCTCCTGGCTATGAATTCTTCTGAATTGCTATAAAGAGGAAAAAAAAGCCTATTGAATTGTTTAGAAAATAGTGGCTTGCCATGAGATTTTTGAAGCATTTAGTAGCCCAGATATAATTCCTGATGATTACATTGCAAACAACACAACTCCCCACCAACTCTCAGCGGTCCCAGCCTGCTCTCGCTCACCCAAGTTCTCCCTGGGATGCATCCCAACAGTGATGCCCTGTGAGGGACTCTCTCTGGGGGAGTGCTGGGGCCTTACCTCTCCAGTGATTCTGCCCCGATGGCATCGGCTTGGGTGGCCACCTTGGCCCAGATGGTGACCACGGCGGCTTTCTCGGCTTGGGTCAGCGTCATCGTGCGGGAGGTGCTGGCTCTGTCCCTCGCAGTGACCGCTCGGAGCAGGTTTGGGCTCCCCACCCCGGCAGCCCTGGTTATAAAGGGGAAGGGGAGAGCGGACCTTGGTGCCTGTCCACACTCATTGGTCACTCCAGAGCCCTCCCATGGAGCGGGAGACACTTATCTCCCCGAGGAGCAATGGCCATTTCGGCCAGGGTCAGCGCACTGCCCTCCTCTCCCGCCGGCCTTATCAGCTTCTTGCTTTGTTAACAAAACAGCTGTGTGGCCCAAAGAAATTGTCTGGACACATATTGATACATGAACAGAGAGATAATGCTGGGAAATTCCATTGATGAAGCGTTAGGACACATCTTTAAGCTGAGGAGCATATGGACTTCAAGCATACTAAGGAGCTTGGAGAGGAATCTGCATTTCCTCCTTTGGTTCACAAGTGTGAACACAAGACTCTGGGCCTTTCTGGGCCATATAATACAATTCCAGTATATGTGGCTGCCCTGTGCCACAATTTTTCACATGAAATGATTCCTAGGTGGTGGTAGAGGCAGGCTAGGAGATATGTGGTATAGTTCAGAGGGTCAGTGAAACAGTGATTTTGTGAGAATAAGTAGAGATTTTGCTACTTTCTTCATCACTGCCAGGACTTCACTTTGCCAGCCTCTTACAGAGAATTAGAGACCTACTCTGCAATTGATATGGATTATAACAGCAGTGGTAGTAATGTTTCCTATGGATAAGAGAGTTGGTGAAATTGAGTATGGTCCTAAAAAAAAGTGTGTGTTGAGGAAGACCAGTCAGACTTTTTGTTTTCATCACTAAATGCCTCCTGTTGCATGTCTTTAATTTCTAGCTGTGTGATTCTGCTGTTCCTTACCCTTGGTACTGTAAAATAGCCCTCAGCACCACAGCCAGTGCTGGACATGCACAGGAGTGCCTGGTCCCATAATAAATGGTTGGTAGCATCAGAACACAGGCACACTGGATGGGTGAAGGACCAAACAAGCAAAAAGAAGACCAGCACAAGCCTGTAATCACAGATAAGTGGGCAAAGTGTCAAAGAAATACCCTACTGGAAATGGTCGCTGCTGAACTTCTGGGCTTGAATATCCTGCCAGCACATGAAGCAGAGGTAAATCTCTCTGCCATGCTGATAAGCTGCAGCAGCCTCACAAGTCACCCCTGAGCATTGGCAGCCCTGCTGGCTGGTGCAGTCAGAGGGGTCAGATGGTGTGCTCTGCCCAAACAGTCCTGCACACTTGAGCAGAGAAGGTTGGTCTGTCTCAGCCAGATTCCTCACCAAGATGTGTCTGTGTTTCACAGCAGTGGTACCCCACTGCTCCAGAGGGTGATCCCCAGCTAGGGGAAAACCCTTCTAGGGATCTATTGGTCCTTGGATCATGTGTGGATTGGAGTATGTCCAGCCTGTACCAAAGTATGGGTGTCACACCTGGAGCATGCAGCAGCCTTGGAGCCTCTCCTGGGAGCCATGGTATGGCCATGCTGTGCTGCTGGGCAGGTGCTGGGTTTGGGGTGGGAGCCATGTGTGTTGTGTGTGTGGCAGGAGTTTCTTCTTTGCTGTCACGTGGTGATAGGTCTCTCTTCTCTGGGCAGACTCCATAGCCTGGAGGAGTTGATCCATACACTACAAACCCTGCTTTTCCTGGGAGTGTGGCTCTTCCACTGCATCCTGGAATCGGCTGGGAATGAAGCAGTGGTACCAGAAAAGTGGTAGGGATGGGGTCAGACAGCAACTTCTGTATCCTCTGGTGTCCCCCGTGCCCTGGGGCAAGTGGCACTTGCAGAAGGACTCTTACCCACACCTTGTAGTCTGTGCTGGGCTCTGAATTTAAGCCTCTCTGCATGCCACCTGCCACATGAATCAGGAGAAACCCTGGACTTCCCCAAAGGGCAGGCACAAAGCACTCGGTGCCTCTTGATCTGCAAGCCCCGTTGGGTTCGGTGATCTTGCATTATCATCCCCTCTGTGGAGGCCAACACCTCATCTGGGATTTAATTTCAGATTGTGTTCAGTGCCACAGCTCCTCCTCAGCCCTCCTGCCCATGGGCTGGATAATTCACTTTGAGAGGGGATGCAAGAGGGGGCTCACCTGAGACCAAGGGAGAACAGTCACATTACTATAGGAAATATTATCAGAGAGCTCTTTGTATATCTTTCCTTTGATAATGCCATACATGTCCCCTGAAAACCTGGAGCTAACTCTGGCTACACAGATGCAGAGCAGTGCAGTCTCCAATTTAAAGTACAGCATGGGCAGCAGCCAGGGCACAGGACAACACAATATTCAGTTTATACAGCTTAAATGGATGGCATTACCAAAGGAGGCTTTCATCATCCCTTGCTACACACATTTCCAGAACTTGCAGTTTTCCCAGAGAAAGATTACTTTGAAAAATAAAGATGCTGTTGTGAAGTATCCATTTATATAATGTTTTTGTCTCCTCCCCAAAGTGCTGCCTGTTACACGGCGTGTCCATGGCTGTGCTCCAAGCTCTCCTCAGTGAGAGTGCTTTTAATCAGGGGTTACTCAATCAATGCTGTGACCCAGATATACACAGGGATAAGGCACAGGCCCTGAGGATTCCTTCCTGTTTTGCTGCCCACTGTGTAACCTGGACATTGGTCCTCTGTGACTGGAGGATTAAGGTCTGTGTAGGCACAATGCTTAAAGTGATGTCTGCACAGGAGGAGTCATCATCACTGAAATCATTGTGGAATTTGAATTCTTGTTCTGAGAGTTACTCTTGCACTATCACAAAAGCCAGAGCAGCCAAAAGGTGACAGTGGTTTGCTAGAAGGAGCTCATTGCTCCCCCAGGATCGGAGCTGTGCTGGGAATGGTTGTGGAAACTCCTCAGGAGAGTGCCTGGAGGGAAAAGCATGACCCTCAGCTACGGAACACAACATGCTGTGGGAAGTGACTGTCTCTGGCTTTGCATGGACCTCTCAGCCAAGTTCCTCATCCCAGTGCTCCAGCTGCCCATAGGGCAGTGAGACAGGGGGGTCCTGGCCACAGCAACACAAGGAGCTGGACAACATGACTGATGGTGTTCCTCTGTCACAGGGTTGGCACTGAAACCATGTCCTCTGGGAAACTCCACCAGACCTGCCTTCCTCTCTTGCTGCTGCTTCTCCTGATGATCCATAGACTCACAGCAGAGTGTCCACTCTTGGGCAGATGGTGGATTTTTGTCATAAAATCACCAAAAGTGATTTTTTTTAAATTAATGTGGGTCGGTTTTAATCCTGTTCTAAAACCCAGCTGCCTGAGTTTCTCATTTTAAGCAGTAGAAGAGAGCAACAGGCCTGTTAGCTAATTATAAAAGTGGGATTATAATTTCTGTCAGTCCTGATTGTAAACCCAGTGGCCTCTTGAATGGCATTGCTGGGAGATCAGGGATAACTTTCCCCATACGCCTGTATTATCTGCAGAAACTGTCTTCCCCTCAAGGAGAATGCTGTGGATTAAGTGGCACATATATCTGCTCTAACTCTGAAATATTCAAAGCATATTAAGTTTTTGAAGTCTTAAAATTGGAGTCTAAAGCCTGGCTTTACTCTTTAATTTCCTACCAGCGCTCGAAGAACTTGCAATCTTTGCTTTAATAGAAATAAAGACTAACTAATTGCTACTGAACCTCCAAGAGATGGAAATGACAGATATGTCTGTAATTTATTATTTAAGAAAGTGAAATTATATTTTGAAGCAGACATACTGCGAAATTTTAACGTGGCTGCCCAGTGCTGGTGCATGAGGAGTGCTCTGCTGCGATAATGGGACTGCTCTTTAATCACCCCTAGACAACTCTGTCCCCTCAGCGTCACCTCCTCTTGCTCAATTGTTATCTCTGGCCTTGTGGAGAATGGCCCTGCAGATTACACCATGCTGCTCATCTCCCTCAGCAGCCCCCACCCCTGCACTGTGTCCCTGGGGGGACTGCGCAGTAAAATCCACAGTGGGAATATCTCAAGGTGGTCAAATATCTTATTAATGCAATCAAATACAGAAGAATTTGCATAAAACCCCAGGACATCCTCTAATATAATTGCTGATAATTTCTGATCTCAGTTAAACATAAAATAAGATGAAGACACCAAAGAGTGCCAGGGAAGTAACGTCACCCTTCCTAATCCAGAGGCACAGGAACCACAAGGCAGGTTGTATCAGAGCTGTGAGGCTCCCTGAGATCATGAACATGAGCAACAAGCTCGATCCAGCCTTTCCATGAGCACTGGGAGCCCAGAGGACTGACTTCCCCAGCCAGCCTCCCGCAGGCACCCTGGTATCATGGCATCATTTGGGCTGGAAAGACCCTCTGAGCCCAACCATTAACCCAGCACTGCCAAGCCCACCACTAAACCATGTCCTCACAACCACTTGTTTTTTGAGCACTTCCAGGGATGGTGATTCCACCACTGACCTGGGCAGTTCCAGTGCCTGCCCACCCTTTCCATCAGGATGACAATCCATTGGGGGTGACAAGCATTTGCTGCTCTTTGCCATCAGCTCTGGAGATGTTAATGACTGAACTGGCTGAAAAGCCACCAATGACCCAAAGTGGCCAAGAGAAATAACACTGGGCAGTCCAGGACCTGGCAGCCCCTGGGGAGGGATCAGGGCTGGAGGCCACCATAGCCTGGATATGAGGCTGAACTGGGGGTGCTGGGCCATGCTGGAGGCACTGGGATGAGCTGGAAGGTGCTGGCTGCAGGCATGTGAAGCACTGGAATAAACTGGGGGTGTGTGGAACAGGGAGTGGTGTCATGGGACACTGGGCTGATTGAGGGAATGCGTGTGTGGGGTGCGGGGCACAACTGGGGGCACTGGGCTATACTGGGGATGGGACTGTGGGTGCTGGGCTGAACTGGGAGCACCGGGCTGTACTGGGGATGGGGTTGTGTATGAGATGCTGGGCCAAACTGGGGGCAACTGGGCTGTACTGGTGGCACTGGACTGAACTGGGGGCACTGGGCTGTTCTGGGAACGGGGCTAGGTGTGAGGTGACGGTCCGAACTTCACCTCACACGAAGCCCCGTTCCCAGAACTGAGGGCACTGGGCTGTGCCGGGGCATTGGGCTGTGCCGGGGCATTGGGCTGTGCCGGGACATTGGGCTGTGCCGGGGCATTGGCGCTGGCAGCGGGCATTGGGCTGTGCCCGGGACATTGGGCTGTGCCGTGACATTGCGTCATGTGCCGGGGCATTGGGTCTGTGCCGGACATTGGGTGCTGTGCCGGGACACTTGGCGCTGTGCCGGGCATTGGGGCTGTGCCGCCGGCCCTGTGGGTAGAGGCGCCGCTCGGGCTGGCCCGCGGGCCGTGAGGCGCTGGGTCCGGCCCGCGCTCTGCCGCAGCCGGGAAGCCCCCGCACGTGCCTCTCCGCTCCGCCCGGGCGCCGCGCCTCGAGGCCGTGCGGCGCGGCAGAGCGGAAGGCGCGGTCGGCGGCGGCGGACGGGGGCCCTTACCTGGCGGGCCGGCCGGGATGGGCGACGAGCACAAGTCCCATCAGCGTGATCCTGGTGAGCCATCGGGCAGCCGCGGCAACAAAGCTGCTGTTTCCGCCTTCCCGTTCCAGGCGCGCGCCGTGAGCACCCCGCCCGCAGCAGGACAGTTAAGCTGCGCGATGCCTCGCGGGGACCGGCCCGGGGTGCGGCTTGCACCTGCCCCGTCGCCCCAGACGAGCCCTCCCGCCGGGGCCATGGCTGCCCGCGCGTCGGGGGGCTTGGCATCCCTCCCACGTGGGGGCTTGGCATCCTCAACCCTGGGGGCTGCGTGCTGCCACACGCAGCGACCCCACGATTGCCCTCTTGGGGTCTGGAACCCCCACCTCCCCAGCCCTCAGACTGGCCATGGGGACCTGGCACCCCACACATCCCCCTCACACTGTCTGTGGGGACCTGGCTCCCACCCACACACCCCTCACACTGTCTATGGGGACCTGGCACCCCATACATCCCCCTCACACTGTCTGCGGGGACCTGGCACCCCATACATCCCCCTCACGCTGTCTGTGGGGACCTGGCATCCTCCCCCGCATCCTTCACGCTGTCTGTGTGTACTTGACTCTCACCCACACACCCCTCACAATGTCTGCGGGGACCTGGCACCCCTCCCATACCCACCCTCCATGGGGGTCTGTGTATACCTGGCACCCCCACCACAAACCCCTCAGACCGTCACCGTGTACCTGGCACCCCTCACACCTCACACTGTCTGTGGGTACCTGACACCCGACACACCCCTCACACTGTCTACAGGGACCTGGCATCTCTCAGACTGTCTGTGGGTACCTGGCACCCCTCACATAGCCACCCTCCATGGGGGTCTGTGTGTATCTGGCCCTCCCCCCTCAAACCCCTCACACCATCTGTGTGTACCTCACACTCTCCATTAGGACCTGGCATCCTTCACCCACCCTCCATGGGGGCCTGGCACCCCTCAAACACCCCTCAAACCCCCGAGAATGCCCTGACACTCCTCACACCCCCACCCCCTTCACAACCCCTCCTAGGAGTCTGGTTCTCAAACACCTCCAGGTTCCCAGGCACCCCTCACACCCCGGGTTATTGAGCCAATTAGTGCCAGGTGTTATTACTGACCCTGGGCCTTGTTGCTGTTCCTGGGGTGGATGAATCCCATGGGTTTTGGGAGCTGCAGGGGAAGGAGGAGGCAGGGTGAGAAGTGAAGGCACTGATTAGGGAGAGAAGGTTCAGAAGACACCTTGAGCTTTAACCAAAAATAGGTAGGAACTATTTAACTTTAGTGCCTCGTGTTGAATAATGGGCTGGAGGAGGTTTAATTTTCTCCAGCAAAACAGGACCATGGAACTGTTTGGATACCAGCACTGGTTGTGCCTCTTCCTCCAAGGCTCCTGATCCAGGACAGTGCCTGGGGCTGGAGTTGGATCAGTGTCAGTGCAGGGCCTAAAGGTGCTGTGGAGTGATGAGGCTGTTTGACTTTGGTCCTGTGCTGACTGCTGTGTGTTGTGAGAGGTTTGGCACCCCTGCTTGGGTTGTGAGTCGCTTTTTACCAGGAGAGAATTGTCTTTAAATCCCTTTTCATTTTTATAGCTCAAATCTGAAAAGACTTTTTTTGGCTGACTGCTTCCCTCACACCCCACTCCTGCTTTTTGTTGGTAAAGGATATCCCTTCCTCTGATTGCACTTCTGTAGCATTACCATTGTCCCAAAACCTGGGCAATAATGAGGGAAGTGCAGTGATCAGAATTCCACTTTCCGCTCTCTGCAAGTGGTTTGTGTCGATTTCTGTAAATGTTTTACTTTCTCCTCTTCGTCCCCTGAAGAGTAAAAAACCTGTTTCTCCTATTTTTTTAATGTGTTTTCGATTGAGAACAGAAAAACGCACAATCACACTTCTTTAAGGAGATATTTCCTTGATAAACTTATCTTTATCCTCTGCTTCAGACAAACCAAGGAGTCGATACGCTGTGAATGGCTCTGGTGACACCACAGAAGATCAAGATGGGGACTCCAGGTAGGGGGAAAACGTTTCTCCTTGCCTAAGAGTTTGAAACAGAGGAGAGGTGGCCTCCTGCTCTCTTGCCTCCTAGCTTCTAGGCACATTCTCTCTGACTGTACAGAAGACAACCTGCCCAAAAATGCTTTAACACCAAATTATGAGCAACTTGGTTCTTAGTAATGAGTCTGATGAGGGAATGCTACTGAATCTCTTGTTTTCAGGACAAGGTAGAGGTCAGGTATTTTGTGCTTGTACAGTATCAGGCAGTACTATCCTTTCAAAACTAGGAGTATTAATCCTTTGGCAAAATTCCACTTTTCTTTACCTGCCTACCTCTAACTGGACATATTATTCGGTCGCCTCAAATTCTTCCCCAGCTTGTGTGATTGTTGTATGGAATTGCTGTGCACTAATGAATAACTAATTTTGTTCCTCCAGATATAGCTGCCGTTGTGTCAGTGACATAGTAAAAGGAAACTGAGACTTAAAGATAGTTTTTTAATTACAGGAAATCACTGGGTAACATTTGCACTGAAAGCAGGCAGTGTGCTGTTCAGCATGTATGTACGTATGGATGGACCCTCTAATTAGTTTTGGTAGAACTTTTGAAATCTGCTGCATAGTTCTAAATTTATTACTACTAGATATGAGATAAATCTGGGGGAGAAAAAGGGTTCTTTTGTCTGTTGGCCCATAATTCAGTTGCAGATCTTCTTTGTGATTTGTGATTAGTAAAAGGGGGCAGTTGTTGCTCTTCACTCAGAGTACAAAAGAAGTAATCACTTTTCCCCAGAAAGAAAGGTAAGCTTGTTCTTAACTTTATGGCTGAGAATGGTGTAGCTGAAATGAAAATCACCTGTGACAATAAGCATCATCAATTCATTTGGTTTTTCAGGACTGGGGTCTTAGGAAAACACATTTTGCTTGAGGTCATTTGTATCCCCTGCCTTTTCTGGTGCCTTTGGAACCTTCAAAGGCAGTCTTTTGGTGCATGTGCAGTGAGTGCAGTACAAATAGGGCACAACTCCAGTGGGAGTGTGTTTGGGAACTGGTGAATGGTGTTCCACACTGGGCTGTGGGTGGCAGGAAGGCTCAGTGCACTGCTTATCCCAGGGATTTTGTTGGTTGCTGTTTGAACCCCTGGCTCTGGTATTTCCCTAAAATAGGTTAAGATGGTGTTGGAATGATGCCAGCTTGTGTCTCATACTGGTTCTTATGGCCTCTGCCATTTTGGCAGGTTGGACCAAGCACTTAATATGTAGCTGTTTGTTGGATGTTGCCTGTGTTGCTGAATTAGTGTGATACAATATGTGGTTACTGCAGTGATGTAGGAAAAGCTTTTATCCCTTCAAAGGATGAGAAAACTGCCACTGTTTTCCTGAAACTGGTTTTAAATAGAGTGAATGTGCTGGCACATAACCTATGTTAAACAAATACTTAGATTATTTCATTGTAGTGGTGTTCAGGACCCAGGGCTTGAAAGTTTGTGCTCAATCTCTTGGTCAGGTATTTGTTACTAAACTTGCAGTGTTTAAAAGAATTTATTTGGATCTGTCTGTATCTGCCAGGCACATGAGGGGGAAATAGAAGAGGAGCAGCATTTCTGTTGCTCTGAAAATGTTGGTTCTGCTAGAGGGGTCCAGCACACAACTTGTGTTGCTTTCCAAAATTCAAAGTCTCTTGCAAAATCCTGTTTGTTTCCAGTTGGTTTATCGAAAAGCTGTTAATTTGTATTAGACAAGAGAAGGTTTGTTGGCAAACTTAGTATCTTTCACTGACTGATAGGGGTGGAAAAAATATTTCAGTTTTAGGTACACAGATGCTTCTTCCAGCAGAAAACAAAAACATGTCTTCAAAACTGTGTGCAACAGATTGCTGAGTGTTTGATTTGTATCAGACAGTTTTAGGAGTAACAGAAGTTGGTGCCTTGTAGTAGAAGAGATTCTGAGGGGACAGTGGAGGCAAAAGGTGCAGATCCCCTGTGGAGAGTGAGGTGCATGTGATTTGTAAACTAGGAAAGGAGAGGAGTTTTGTATTATTTCTGGAAGGAAGAGTTGGTGACTTTAATCAGTGCATGTCAGTAGCATCTGTGGATGTTTTTGGTGGCACAGACTGAGGCTGTGGAGTGGGCAGACTGGTAGGTTGAGTTGGTGGTGTATGGCAAGATGGATAATGTTGTAGGGTTGGGTCTCATGTTTTCATGTTTAGTAGCAAATGTTATTTCAGATTTATCTTGTAGCTGCAATAGTTCTTATGAGGGCTGGATTAATCCTTTTTTATACTGAATGGCTGTATTTAATTTTTTAGCAATCTAGCACAGACTGTATTCTAGGTAAGGTTTGCTATTGCTTTTTGCCTAAGCTATTGGAACCCAGATCAATTACTTCTGAGCTGACCTTTCCTTCAGGGGCTGAGGTGTATATATTTCTTTAGGGCCTCAGACAGGACAAAATTAGATCAGTTTATGTGCCTTAACTCCATTTCCATATAACATATTTGTATACATAATTGGATTTCTTTTAGCGTCCACTCTCAATTTCCTGGTCATTGTTATGCTTTTTGATTTTTTTTTTTAATAGACAGTGGCAGCCTGTTCATGGTAATCCTCCCTCCAGGTTACTCATGTGTGTTTGTTTGTATTAAATTCTGCCAATGGAGCTGTACTGGGTCTTCAGAATATAGATTTTACTTCCTGTTAAAAGCAAGTTGAGCAGCAAAAGCGGTTGAGGTGTGTGGATGGTGGCCATGCAACAAAAAGGTATTCAGAAGACTGTTACTGTCAAAACAAATTTCCTGTCAAGTGTCTCTCTTTGTTGGCTCCCTCTCAGCCTTTCATCATTTGCTCTTTTTAAAAACATCCTTCAGTTTTCTGAGTGCTTTTCCAGGAATACACCCCCCCATAGCTTATGGAGATGCCTGCCAGCCTTTTTTTTTTTCCCCCCTGAAAAAAATGTGAGGCAATTACTCCTCTTGAAGCCGTAAGATAATGCTTTATTAAATTGGTTTGAGATGGTTTCTGTAGCTTTTCTGAAGGTGGTGGAGTCAGCAAGCAAAAATTCTAATGAAGAGGCACGTATAGTAACATATGTTACACCAGACTCTGAATTTTAGTGGCATGACTGACTAACTGGAGGACGTTTAGCAAATTTGGCAGCACTGATGTCATTAATTGGCTTCTGTTATAAAAAAACCCAAGTTAGTGACAAACAAGGATTTGACTGTCCCTCTCTAACAAACAGTAGTTCTCCTGTGATAACATTTCTGTCTCCTCTGTCCCTCTTTCACTGGACTCCAGTGTTCTTCCCTGTGTTTGTTCTGAAAGGCTTCCTTTCTGTAAGCCTGTGCTTTTCCATTCATCCACCCATCCCTTGAAACACCCTTCCTGTAATGTCACTGCCTTTGTGTAGTTTGTCATTGAGGTTCTCTGAGTTCTCTTTTTGGCATGACCAGCAGAAATCTGCTGTGTTTTGCATTAAGTAAATGTTGGAGGTTTTCATTTTATCTCTTCTTTTTAATGTGGACATTATAAAGCTTTTATCTGATTAATTTTTCAGTATATTTAGGGAATCTGTTTCAGGAAGCAAGTCCTTTTCTATCTTGTTAACTGGGGGGAGGGAGAAAGTAGTTGACTGTTAAAATGGGAACAGGTATTTCTGATACAAAAATGAGCACAGCTGCTTACAGAGCCCTGCTCTGTGCACCTGTTATAAGGAAGGGTTTGAGATTCTTTGCCTTGAAAACTTCTTCTCTCTAAGTTTGTATTTATTGCCTGGGGCAGACAGAGAATGACTTCACGTGTGCTGCAAGTCTGGCCAGACTTGTACCTGCTGTGTGGATCCCTGGGGGAGCAGCAGTGGTTCTGTGGGCCAGGGCCTTTACAAAACCCTGCAACAATAAACACTGGGCACCCTCTTTTCCTAAGTCTTGTGGGTATGGAAGCAGCAGAATGAGTTGGGAAAAGCTGTGGGTCATTTGGGGCTGCATGGGTTGGGGCTGCATGGGATGTCTTTGGTGAAAATGGCAGGAATAAACTGGAGTTTAGGATCTGCTCTAAATCAGACTGCGACCTCTCCTGTTTCTCTTAAGGTAAGCATGAATTAAAAAGGGTGGTGCAAATCCAGCTCCATAAATGCAGTGTTTTGTGGGAAAACACGTTGCAGCAGCCAGTGTTTACTGCAAGGACTACATTGCCTTAGCCTGTTTTCTCCGTGTTGTCAGTCTAAGCCTGCAGTATATCCCTGGAATTCACCTTCCATTAACTTTTGACTCCTCTCAACAATTATATTTCCTTTACAGGAGTTTAACCCTTTAATAGTTCATCCTAGTTTTTAATATTATCTCTTTTTTTTTTCTTTTGTATTTTGTGTACTTGCCTCGTTTATTTTCTTTTGTTGTGTTTTGTTTTGTGTTTATGGCCATGTTCCCATTTCAGAGACCAATGTCCTCTAACTGATGAGCAATTGGTTTCAGGGTAAGACCAAACGTTCTAAACAATCACCTTTGTCTAGAATGGCTTTCCTTTCTCACCATCCTTTTAATTGTGCTTTGTTTCTGGTTTCTGTTTTACACCGAATGATGAGATAATTATATGCTAAATCACAGTGTCTGTAGGAAATGTATTGCTAAAGGTTTGTGCCAAGATAATTACGAAGGTCCTACTAACATTTCTGTGCTTCCTGTAGGGAGTCCAGGATGGGTGTGGTACTGTCCCTTCTGTGAACTGGGAAAAGCTGTGAGAATGCAACAAATAAAGCCTTGGCATTGTAGTCATTCCAGCAAGGAGCCCTAACCCAAATTGCTTTCTGATAAGCAATGACTTAAAAGCACAGATCAGTGAGCAAAGGATTTAATCCCAGAGTAATGATGGAGAGCTCTTCAGAGACCTGGCTTTGAGCAGCTGTGCTGGTTGCTTGCTCTTGGTGCCCCACTAAGCTAAATGGGATGTGAGGTGAAAGTGCCCAACTACCCAGGGCCCCAGAAGTCAAAAATGCATCTCTGGTTGTTGCATAACATAAACCTCACCTGGATACTCATATCCACTTCCAAACTCCTTCAAAGAAGAATTCTTTATAAAAACCTTGCTTTGAATTCCTGTGGCACATAAAAAGTTATTATCTGTTCTTGGGGGCAAAAATGAATTTGTGTTTGAGGTTCCCCCCCCCTCCCCTTTTTCCATGTGCTGTTGCTATGTTGAGCTTGTGATAGGAGTGGTAGGATATTTTGGGCAAAGCAAAGCTTTTGTTTATTGTATTTACTTTCTGCCTGCTGAATTCCTTAGTACAGGAGAATTTTGCTTCCCTCTGGAATTCACAATGCTCAGACTAATCTCATAAAAGGAGAAGGGACCGTTACTGCCCAATTGCAAAACCTAATCTGCTTCTAACAAACTCCTGGGCTCTGATAAGTCAGTATTTTTAGGCCTTCTTAATAAACTCAAGAGATTGGAAAATGAGTCTTAAAATATTTAAAGTAAAAGTGTTATTTTCTAAGAGGAGGTGATGAATTGAAATGATGGGAATAACATATCTGCTGTCCCTCAATCTCCCTATTGTCCTGAGGCCTGAGAAATGTCTAAATTATGTAGAGCATTGGGGGAAAAAAAACCCAAACCAGCCAAACCAATAAATCCAGGCTGTCAGAGGAGGAGAATGGGGCTGGAGTCCAGGTGACTCTGGGGAGAGCCAGCAGTGATCCCAGATGTCTGTACCCATCAGGGAGCACCTATCTCAGGGTTATCTGTCCTGAGTGTGTCATCTGGCTGCAGTTCCAGCACTCTCCCAGACAGAGAAGTCCCTGCTAGTGAGAAGATACTGAAGACTTGCCAAAATCACCCTTTTAATCTCCTCCTCCCCACAGAGTCCTGTACAAGGTAGGGCAGGCAGGGCTTTGGTGTCATGAGCTCTCCTGGGGAACTGCTGAGCTCTTACCTTCAGCACCACGTTTATCTGTTAAAAGATCTGCTGGTGTAATTCCTTGTAAAAGTCATCATGATGATCAGTTTTCCAGCTCCCAAGGTATCCTTTGCCAAGGCTGGAGGAGGGAAGGGGAACTCATTTCTTACGAGCAAGCCGACATTTTCTGTTTTGCCCCCCTCCTCCCTTCACCCCCCAAACATATGCTGATTTTGGATCCATGTTATTATCATCTTCCTGGCTCCATGACAAGCCTATTTTAGCAGCTGAACGGGGCAAAAAGAGGAGGAAAAGCTCATTGCTGTCATGGGGACTTTTTCCTCTTTTGAGTGTGATCTCCAGGGACTGCCAGTCCAGGTCCTGCCCTTTATTCCCAAACTTCCTGAGCTGTGCAGCCCAGTGCAGTGGCTGAGGAGTGTGGGCTCTGGAGTCTCTGACTAGTCTCCCCATGTCTCTGCTTGTCCTTAGGTTGGAGTTTGGAGCAGGGCAGTCAGGGATTTGGAAGTTTGTACACAGCTGCTCCTTCCATAAACCAAACATCATCAGCGTGCTGTGGTCAGGGGGAGCTGTTTGTGCAAACACCAGAGGCTTTGACAGTTTATAAAGTCCCTGTGTGGTCCTTCATCTCCAGTACTTGTAGGTCTAATAAAAGAAATTTCCCCTGGGTGCCACTAAAGACCTCGCTGTGTGCATTTGTCTTAATTTCTGTAGTAGTCCATAACTCAGAGAGAAGCAGGAATATGGTGCATTAGTTCCTTCTCTGGGCATTGAGGGCTCACTTGTGGCCAAGAGATAAGGGGATTGCAGCACACACCCACGCCTGCCCTCTTCTCTGAGTGATACTGGGTTATCAGGGATACCTGCCTGCTGGAGGGGGATGGTCTGCCAGGGGCACACATCCCAGAATGTAAATAAAGGAGATGAAATAAACATTTTCATTCTTAAAAAACCAACTCTCATCAGAAACTGCTTTGAAATTCGTTTGGTTAAATGGGAACCTCTGGGAAGATCAGATGAGGAAAGAACTTGTTAATAACAAGCCATGCACTGCTCCTGTTATATAGAGCAACAGTTTTACTCCACCAGCTGACGTTCTCTTCCCTGTGGTTTTGAGCTTCACTGTCTAGGGACACCCTGAGGAAAACAAGTGTGTGTAGAGACCAGACCAGTGTTGTGATGCCATCAGGAAGAGCAGTTGCAGAGTTCTTCCCTTGTCACACTGGGTTCTTACCCATTTTTGCAGCAGGAGCTGTATTTTCCAGGGCAGACTCCTTGTAGGTACTTGCCTTCTTGCCACCACTGATCCAGTAACACCATGGTTGGTGTTGGGAAGGACCTGCCCTGCCATGAATTTGATTTATCAGATGAGAAAGCCCAGGTGAGGCCAGGCCAGGTCTGCTTACCACAGGTCACCTGTTAAGTGAGAAACTTGGAATCTCACTGGTGAACTTTGGGAAAGGAAGGACAAGTGTTGGCTGTATGTTTCCTCTAATTGAATCAGCTCTTTCTTGCCTTCCCCTCTGCCATACTGGGTGGCTTTTAAGATCTCTGTTGTGCTTGAGTGACAGGCTGTGTCAATATGTAGTTGCTTAGTAAGTTCATTAACCTGCAGCTAAATCCAGGCAATGGCTAACTCCAGCTGTTTTTATATTTAAGCAAACTGCCTCTAATCTTTCCAATGTATTTTGCCAAGCATGTAATTAAATAAGCATGACCCTGCAGTCTTTGTCGTGAATGCTTCCTGTTTTATAATTGTGATGATCTGAGAGATGTAATTTAGGGGTCCTTAATTTTAATTAATTGGTGGTACTCCAGGTACAGCAATTTACTTACAATTTACAACAACCTTATAAACTTCCGAGTTAAATATATCGGTGTTTGGAGGAGTGTTCTGGGGGTGTGCTTTTTGAAAATAACTTCTGTTTCTGCTCCTCAAGGTTTTCAGATGTCATCCTGGCAACGATTTTGGCTACCAAGTCAGATATGTGTGGCAAAAAGTTCGAGCTGAAGATCGACAACGTTCGCTTCGTTGGCCATCCCACGCTGCTCCAACACGCCCTCGGGCAGGTACAGTCCCAGCTCCCCTCTGGGGACCCTCCTTCCTCACAGACTGCCTGGTTTTAGGGAGGAAACTTGGAACTCAGAACGTGCCTGTTTCGCTTTTCATCCTGTTTTTTACTTCCTGATGCTCCAAGCTGCCTTTTGCTTACTCCCAGATAAATATGGTGAGTGGCAAACTGAGGGAGCTCAAAAAAAAGTCCAGCTCAAAAAGCTCTTTCTAACCATTTTAGTTACTGCAAGTTAGCTTTTTAGCACCTCTAATTAATATGGCAGTTAAAAAAAACCGCCACCCAGAACCTTTACAAATGCTAAAAGCTGCATCAGCCTTGTTTGGCTTTTAACTCTTCCTGAAGATGATCCACAGGACTCAGGCAGAACATGTAGGATGTTGAAAGAGGTCTAAAATTTTCTTGTGGACCAGGTCAGGCTGTTGTTTGCATTGAGGCTTTGCTCCATGGCCTGTGTTTTAGCTGTTTGGAATGGAAGCAGTTGGCCACCTAGGCTATTAAAAAGGTCCTGCATAGATGCAGGAAAGAATTGATGTGATTCTGTGTGCCAGATATCCCCTGTCCTGTTCCTTTTGCCTGATGAACTGTAAGAATGATTTAGGCTTTAGTAATTTCTGAATTCAACACTGATCTCTGTCACTGAGCTGCTTTGGTCTCATTTTCCATCAAATTTGCTGTGTCACTCTTTTTTTCAGGGAAAAAAAAAATCTGCTTGCCAATTCTGTTATGCATTCTAGCTATAATTAGAGGTAGAAACAGATTGTTAGCAACTGCTTCTTGATATTTAGAGGACCAGACTGCTTTAATCCCAGCAAGGAGCTGGCCTCAAGCCTCAGAAGATGCAAGTGTTCCACTTTGAAACTCAGTTGTGAATCTACAGGAAATGTGATGGAAGATCACCAAGACTGAGTCCTGAAAAGTTTAAACTGTCTTGGAAGAGAGAACTGAAGTGTGCTCAAGGTGTGCAAGTCCATCAGACAAGCAAGTGATGAACCAGGCCCAGGGTCTGTGCAGGGACCCCAGACAGGGGCAGGAGGAGACAGGAGCAGGGACAGGGCTGGAGGACAGGGCTGCAGTGCTGAACCCTCCAGGAGACAGGCACATACAACAGATCCAAGCTCCATCCAGGACACAGGCACATCCAACAGATCCAAGCTCCATCCTGGAGACAGGCACACCTCTAGGCCCTGGGCTGAGCTTAAATGGGGCCCCCAGTTCATGGCCTAGGGTGTGTGTTGGGGGGACCCAGCTGGGACTGGTCAAGGCCATGAAGACCTTTTGGTGCCCTCAAGGCCCTGACAGCAGTGGCCTGTTCTCCCTCAGATGAGTTTCCTTTATTTTACTAATCTCATCTGAAAGGCCCAACTTCCTAAATGTGGTGTAAATGAGGTTGAAAATTCATATTTGCATTTTTTCACCACATATTATACATTCTCTCCACCGTCCAGTCAGTTTAATCCTTGTTGCATGAAATGTCACTTCAGTTTATCTAAGTAAATTAAATTAGGGTAAATAAACAAAGTTATAAAGTGCTGTAAACACTTTTTTGTTACTTCTTGTAGGATCTTCTTTTTGGGTGTGTCTTATCAGGCCTGGAGCACCCCAGAACTTTCTGGAGTCCAGAATCCTCTAGACCTGGCAGCCATCTCTGCTAGTTCATCTCAGTCTAAATCTGAGACCCTCCTGCACTCAGGAGGAGGCTGGATGGAGGTCCTTTCCCATGGAACACAGGCAGCAACCAGTGGAACTTGGCAGCCTCTGCTTTGGGTTTCCTCAGAGTTCATTCTGCAGTAAATTAATCCATGGGACAGCTCAGCAAATTCTTACTCAGATGAGATTCAGGAGTTACAAGAGCACAAATACCTCCTCCTGTGAGCCAGACTGCCTTTTATGTAGCAATGTTTTGAATTCTTCAAATTCCTTCAGCATTTTCTTTTCCAGCTTAGTCTTTTCTTCTGTTGTGTTTTTTTGTTTGTTTGTTTGTTTTTTCCTGGACAGGAGGTGATGTGAAATCCAGCCTGCATCCCAGTTGATGTTAGTGTTGATAGTTTCTTTGATTTTTAAGGAAGGAACAGGATCAGTCCTTACACTTGGAAATGCTTTTGTGTCTTTCCTGAAACTCCCAAGAAATCCTGGAACCTGTAACTCCAGAACAAATAAAACACAGTAAAGTGACTTTACCACCCATCCCCTGCCTCTTTGATAGAATGACATTTTCACTTTAGGAAAAAAAAACCCACCAAAATGTCTATCACCTCTTTCAATTTTTCTTATTTTTGAGGCTTATTTTCTTATTTGTGAGATGAGCTGAGCAGTTCATTGCCAGTGCTTGGGACCTGTTGGGAAGGGTGGGGGTGCAGCTGTGCCTTCACCAGCTGCTCTGCTTTTGCCCCATCTCAGGTGCTACACATAGGTTGGGACTGACCATTAGGTTAGTTGGGTGTTTGCCCTGGCAGGTTCCAGCTGTTTGCACTCGGGATTGGGTTCAGCAGGGAGCTGCAGGGGAGGCAGGAATGTCCTCTGCATTTTGTGCTCCATCTTGTGGCGACACTTGCTCGATTCGCAGTCCTCGGTTCTGGATGTGCAAATTCCACTTGCTTGTCTTGGCTCCCACCCTTCCTCCCCACCAGAAAGTCTGAGCCTGCCTTAGGGATGGAGCTCTCTGCTGCAGAGAGAAGGGAGTGGCTGGAGAACGTGTTTGAAATCCTGCAGGAAAGGAAAATCAAACCTTATGTTTTAGCACCGGTGTTCTAGAGCATGTTTTTTCTGATAAAAGCAACAGCTTGTTACAGGATGCAATTTGAATGGGGATTTTAGGAAAGGAAAGAATAGGTGTGGCCTGGGATGATAAATCCTGTGGACTTCTCTTTAGTTAAAAATACATATATGACAATTGTGCTAAAGAAGACCCTTATGATGCTAAAATGCAATAGCAAAGACACCAAGTAAGACTGCTGTCTTACTAATCTCCATTGTCATGACCAAAATGCTTTGGTTTAAGTCTTCACAACTGCTCAGCAAAAGGCAGTGTTGTAGAGTAACTGTGACATTTAAACAATAATAAAAAAAAACCCCATAGTTTTATTTTTTACAAGTCAAATTTAATGATATAATTTGATTTGCCTGCTCTCTTAGCAAACTTATTATATAACTAAGGCTTTTCTTTCTTTTTTAATTTCTTTCCCTTTGTTACTGGCTCCAGCTGACACTAGCCTGTGGGATTTTTTAAAAAATGTTTTTCAGGTATCCAAAACTGATCCCTCACCAAAGAGAGAGATGCCCACTATGATTCTGTTCAACGTGGTGTTTGCACTAAGGGTAAGGACTGTTTTCATTCCATCTGATGGATGTGTGTGATGTGCTTCAGATGTATGAGAGAATGCAGTAGGCTCACATTCCAGTAATCTCTTGCAAAACATTCAGTTCCTGATTTTATTGGAATATTTTAATTTGAAACAACAAAATCTAAACACGTAGAATATGACACCAAGAACTGTGACATTTTCCAGCCCAGTGGAAAACAATTTTGGTTGTTTGCTTCAGGACATTTTCCAGAGATTTTGGTTTCAAATACCCAGAGTGTAAAGGCAGGAAAGCAGTTTGCAAAGCAGATATGAACCCAGCTGCCAGTCCTGAGTGAGCTGAAGTCTGCTATGATTTTGGTAGACCCTGCAGGTGAGCCCTGTCCCACTAAGCTGTAAAAGAGGACAGCCTGGGCCTGATCTGGGTGTCAGGGGCTGCTCTCTGAGGACTCTGCTCCTGCCCAGGGCAGCACCACATCCCCAGAGCTGCAGTAACAGGATGCTGAGCCCTGTGACTCTGTGCAGCTCAGACCTGGGGGTTGGTTCTGCCCCCGGGGCAGTGGCTCGTGCCTGGCCACAGTCAGCCCCCCACCATGGCCTTGGCCAACCCCAACTTGCTCCATGCAGAGTCAGGAGCCTGCTCTGGCTCCCAGCAGCACTGTTTGGAGCCCTTACTCATGCTGTATGATACAGAGACACGTGCCTTTGCTCAGTGCCTCCAGGCTTGTTTTATAATTAATGGACAGTGTTTGAAAGCTGCCTCCTTTACAGTGATCTCACTGCTAAGAGGGAGAGTGCCAGGGAGCAGCAGCTGAGCAGCTAAATGAGAAGAAGGTACAAATGAGGAATAAAGAGGTTTTGATGCTCTGCAGAAACCTGGAACAAATATGTAGTTTCTGCTTGGAATTTTTTTCAGGCCTTTTCTCTTGACTAAATGTTGGTGTTAAGGGATCCTGGCACGGCTATTAGGTGATATAAAGCCCTAGAAATTTCATTATGTTCGAGTGTTATTTGATTTCTGAGCTCTGGCTTTCTCTTTCCAGCCCACTGGTTGTTTAAAAATAAAAGAGGAAGCTGGAATAGGTGTCTTTATGGAAATGGTTGATTTTTGCTCAGCTGGATATAATGTCATGATTTAAAAGCCTCCAGCTCTTTTCTTGTGAAAGGACCTTTTTTTTTTTCCTCCTCTTAGCACTAGTACCTTTTTTACCACTGGCTTTCCAGGGGTGAATAACATGGACGTGGCCCCGATCCAACGTCTTGTCCTCAGCTGAGGAGCAGGTTTCACACAAGGCAATTATCCCAGCAATCAGTCTAAATCAAGCCAGAAATCATTCACTGAGCTTTGCAGGGGATCCAGTGGTTTTGTGCTTTGGGACACTGTTAGGTCAGGAAATGCTGCATTTGCAGTTCAGGAGTTGATTTTACATTTCACACACCAGGAGATGTTGTTTTGGTGTATGGATGGAGCCCCTTGCTTTGGCTGTAGGGAAGTGTGTTTAGATGCACGTGCAGACACAAACACTCGTGCACACTGAGTCATGTGGCAGCAGAAAGGGTGAAACCAATGCTCTTTCATTCCCAAGAACTGGGTGAAGTGCAGTGAAGACTTTATCTAGCTCACATTTTTCCAGCATCTAATTACTAGTGGTTCTAGGAAAACTTGCCTTTTTTTTTTTTGCACTTCAGCCGTGTGATGACACTGATGTCATTGTGTGTGTGATGACACTGATGTCATTGTGTGTGTGATGACACTGATGTCATTGTGTGTGTGATGACACTGATGTCATTGTGTGTGTGATGCAGCACTAAATCCATTTGCCAGAGGAGACACTCTTAGTCCACAGAGAGCAGTCAAGTTTCTGGAAAGTGCTGTGCAAGAAGCAAGGGGAAATTTTTGGCTAGGATGGAGTAGTGCAGCCCAGAGGGTGGGTGGGGGCCCTCTGAGATAAAGATGAGTGTCCATCTGCAGTGGGCAGACAGAGTAGGCAAAGACCCAAGTGCTATAATCAGCACTGACCCTGCTGTGTTTGAGCTTCAGGGTTACCAACGTGTCGTGACTCAGCAAGAACAGTGGAATCAAAAAAGTGATGAGTCATGGTTTGCTAGTTTACATGCCAGGAGATCATTTGCCAGAAGTTTAAATTCCTTTAAATGTCTTAACAAACATGAAGCAGCTGCTGACTCATGCTGGAGCCACCATTCACCCCCCCTCGTCCCCCTTGGCAGCTGTACTTACATGATAGATTTTTCCAGGGACTTGCATGAATGCAGTGGGAGTAACAAGCCATATTTGTGAAGTGTTTGGGAGTGTAAATCCAACTCCATTTGGATTTGGGATGAAATTGTTGGTCATGTGCTGGCAATTCTAACTTAGTTACTGCCTTGTCAGTCAGTAGGATAGGATAAACATCAGTGTAGCAACATGTGGGCTGTGTTATGGCACTGCAGCCCTCGTGCTCCCAGTGAGTTTAACCTGGGTATTGGGAGGTTCTGCCTTTTCAAATGGCACACACTTCCTTTTCTCACTGTGTGACATTGAGTCCTTTGCTCTCTGCTAGTAGAAGGCCCATTAACAACTGGAAAAATAAACCAGACAGGAGTATCATGCTCCAGGTGTGGTGTTCCTTTGATGCACACAGACAAGCCTAGAAATCCATGACCCTTCCCGTTACATTCGCACATCTCTGAGCTTCAGCTTGGTTGCTGCTGGAGAAAATTTATTTTTTTGCCAGCAGCCAAAGAGGCTGACTCTTGATCTCAGTGGAAACTCGTTATTTAAGTACTTCTCCCTCCCTGCAGTGCCGTGGCTGTGGCTGTGGCTCAGTGTTTGTCCCGTGTTCCCCCAGGCCAACGCGGATCCGTCGGTGATAAACTGCCTGCACAACCTGTCCCGCAGGATCGCCATCGTCCTGCAGCACGAGGAGCGCCGCTGCCAGTACCTCACCAGGGAGGCCAAGCTCATCCTGGCCATCCAGGATGAGGTGTCTGCCATGTCAGAAAGTGAGTGCTGAGCTTTGGGCGGGAATGTGTTTGCCCAGGAGCGCTTCTTCAGAGAAGTGTTGATTGTGCCACCTTACTTCTGTGGCCGGGATCAGCACGGACAAGTTGTGGTGCTCTTCAGCATTGACAGCTTTTGGCTGCATTTTACCTCATCCAGGATCACTATCCTTATGCAGAGATGTGAGTTTAGAAGTGAAGTGTCTTCTTTGCTTTCCTTATAGCTCAGTTCAGCACAATCCCTGGAGACTGTGCACTGAGCCATTCCCTTTGGATCTGCCTGTCAGGCTGAGATGGATGAGCTCACATGGAACCTGCTTCTCCCACCCTAGAGCAGGTTTTCCATGCTTTCATGCTGTGTGCTGAGTCACCAGACTTCTTGTGTGGAAGCTTCACTCTTATATGTTGTTACCATGGCTAGCAAATAGTTACAGACTCTTTATAGACTGTACTTCAGGAAAATGCACTATAATAACGTGCACTGTTTAAGGTGATGTCTCTCTGACAGTGATGCATCATCTTGCTGCAAGCATTAAAAATTAAAACAACATCTATAAAAACAAAGCATTTAAAATCATCATTTGTCAAATTCACAGTTACATGTGCTTAACTGAGTTGAGGTTTAGGAGAAGTTGGCAATAATTCACTGTTATTATTTTAACATGTAACTTGAATTATTCTAAAAGCTTTGAAAGGTAACTGTAGATTAAAAAGAGACGATTTCTGTCCCTTAGATACTGGTTGATATCTGGTGGGGGAAGAGGAAATCAGTTGAAATGCTTTGAAATTAGTTGTTTCCTTTCTTGTTTTGAAATTTTCTATAGCCACAGAAGGGCCACAGTCACCTTTTCATCACATCCTACCCAAGTGCAAACTGGCCAGAGATCTCAAAGAGACATATGACAGGTAAATGGGATTTTATTCCTAGCTCACAGTATGCTGTTCCTCACTGAAACCTTCTGGCCTTGTTCCTTAGGATATTATCCACCTCCTCCTGCTGTTGACTCATTGGGATTTGGGTTTTGTACCAGGCAGAGCAATGTGAAGCCTAGCAGTCAGGTGAAATGTTTGCAGAACTGCTGCCCTAATCATCACCTTGGTCTGTCTGTGATATCTTGTGGTTCCTCAAAGTTGATGATGTCTGTCACAGCTTTAAGAATTATTATTTTCTTCCTTAGCATGGAGGCACATAATGACAAGTGAACTGTAGAACTGAAAAGTGTCATAATGTGGATATTATATCACTGGAGAAGTGCTCCAAAGCTGCAGCTGAGAGGAAAGTGCTGCATGAGCACTGATGGCAAGTCAGGTACTGCCCTGGCTTCATTTGGTTACACTGTACATGTCTGGACAGCGAATTTGGATCAGATGCTGAGACTTTCAGCAGAATGGAAAGTGTAACGTGCTGTTTCTTGATAGGATCAGAAGTTCTGGCAAAGATTTCAAAGGAGTTGGTGTTGAACTTGAGCAGGAGCCGAGTGGCTCCTTGGGAAGAGAGGCACCTCCATCCAGGATATGTGCTTGGGCAAGGGCCTTGACAAAGGGGCACAGAAGGCTTGGGTGGGCAGGAAGATGCTGTGCCCCTTGGTTGGGGTGTTTGTCAGGGATTCAGAGAATTAGGCTGGAGCTCCTTAGGGCACATGGAATAATATCAGACAACCCCTTTATCCTCCCTGGCTTGTGGCTCCCCTTGTACAGAGGGGATCACTGCAAAGGCACTGGGAGCCTAAAGAATTTAATGGTTGCAAAGCACATTAGAAAACTAATAAATAAGCTGCTGTTTGTTATGTTTAAGAGCTATGAATTTCAGCTTGTTTGAAGGAATGTGGTATATTGTTCCACACAACTCAGACAAAACTTTTTGTGTAGCCTGTGATTCTAATATTAAACTTACATTTTTCTGTTCCTCTAGGGCTGTGTATTTGTGACAGGGCAAATTGTAGGGACAAATTTTAGGGACACAGTGACATCTTGTGGCATTTAGCTGTGACTGGAGCAACACAGAGCCCAAACTCATGGACTGTGCTGATATGACCTATGAGATAAGGAGGAACAGACTGACCACGGAGAAGCACACTTTGGTACTGTCCCCCAGGTGTAAAATAAGGCAGTTTCTCCCTCATTTAGGCATTGTGAGTGGGGGAGAAGTGCTGCAAGTCAGATTTTGACACTTCTGTGTTGGTAAAAATATAAAGTGCCTGTGTACTTTATTGTAATGCTGTACTTGAATAGCTAACAGTGTGATTGTCTGCCTGGGTGATAAGGTGGTGTTCTGCAGTGTTTTTCCATTAGTATTTCCTATGAGAGAATTAGAAATGTGGTTATTACACCTGTATCAGATGAGTTGAGAGGAGCTGAAGCACCTTGCCAGGCAGGCATAGAATTAAATATTTTTTTATAAGGTAGAAGTGGTCTAGAAACAGGATTTTTTTCTGCAAGTCCAGGCTGAATTAATTATTCCTGTGTGTCAGCAGCTTTGGAGTGAAGTCTGTGTGGTCTTCTGTGAAATGAGGGTTAGTCATGAGTGACATGGGGTTACAGAAAAGGCAGATAGACAAGAATGCACAAAATAAAAGTCTTGTCTGTAAGATAGGAACCAACCCCACTGGGGATTGTAAAGCCCCTGCTTAATGAATAGTGAATCCAGTTTTGGAGACCACATTTCAAGAGGGATTTGGGCCACCTAGAGAGTGTGGAGGAGTGAGAATGACCTCAGAGGAGAGATAGAAAGATTTGGTCTGTTGATTTTAGAGGAGGAAGGACTGCTGGGAAGGGTAAACCTTCAAATGCATGCAGTGACAATGTGCTGGTTTAATTGACAGAGACTTCTGGCATAGCCTTTGGCTGTAGGAGAGCAGGGAGTGAGGTGGAGAGAGCACTTTGAATTGCAAATGGAGCCCAGCTCTCCATTGGAGATTTGCTCAGACCAGCGTTTCCTAGTGCCTGCTGCTTTCTGCAGTTCCAGCCCCGTTTGCAGGGCTGCTCCAGAGGAGCTGCCGAGCCCTTGGTTTCCTGTAGATGGTGCTGAGGTATTTCAGGCAAGACCCAACACGTCCCTGAGCAACTTGGTTTGTGCAAAACCACAAGTGTGTGAATCTTGTGATGTTTCAGGATGCTCCCTGTGTTCTGAATGAAATGCCTGTGTTTTAGAGGGCAGGATCAGTGCCCAGGACATCTTGACTGTAACGCTGTTGCTGCTCTAGAAATGGAGTGTTATTAAACTTACAACTTAGAGGTAAATCAGAATCTAGTTCCTGGGACCTTTTTGGGACTCTAATGGAGAGAACCAGAATGTTTCTTTTTGATCAGAAAATGGAAGGTCTTCGTTCATCTTGTCCCCAAACTCCAGCATTGGTGTGGAGAAACAAAAACCGTTGTTTTAGGCCCAAGAAACTCCAGTTGCCAACACTTCCAGCACTGACAGATTTACCAGTGTGTCTCTTTTAAACCACTGTTCAATTCAGGGAATCAAGACAGCTTTCACTAAGTTTTGTCTGCAACTGCAGGTGATGTGTGAGCTTGATAATAGCTACCTGCCTGTCTGGTTTTAGCAAACTTCTCTTAGCTTTGGATGGGAATAAAAGTAAAAGTTTGGAGACTTTTTTGGGGGAGGATTGAATTGTTTGCTTCTTCTTTTTAATACACAAAGAGCCTTCATACATTTTTAGTCTGGTGGGATATGAACTGACTGGTAGATCTAGCCTACCTCAGCAGCTCAGCGAGAAGTGCAGTAATTATATGAGATTTAACGAATTATTAGATGTAGCTGTACTGTAAAATAGCATCCAACTACAGTTATTTCATCAAAGCACAGTCCACGTGTCCTTTATAAGGAAATGTGAAATAATTTCAGAACTCTAAGTAGTTACAACCTCTAGGAAAACCAAACTCCAAAGCTACAAGCTCCACCAAACTAGAAAGCATACTCTTAATTTCTGGTGTAAATAGAACAGACATAAAATGAGGGGTGTGTATGCAAAAATTCATAACTCCTCTATAAATTTAAAGTGAGATTGCTTTGTGTTGCCAATAGTTATGAAAAAAGCTGCAATTCTCTGAGATAATGCTCAGCTTTTGGGTTCCCATTTTGGGGCAGTGGCTCACAGTTGCAGTGGCTCACAGTTGCTGTTCAGGGCACAGCAGAGTAGAGCAAAAGGGCAGTGATATTTCCCCAAAATATTCCCCAGGGTCCTGCAGCTCTGGAGGGGATTTCTGTGTATTGAACAGCTTTCAGCTGATCTCACTTCCCGGAATCAGCCCACAATCCTGTGAGCCAGAGCAAATATTGAACAACCACAGCATCCCCTGATAAGGAGGTGCATGGCTTAACTAGCTTCTGTGTTTCTTTCTGTTTCTTCTGAACTTTGCTCCTTGTGTGTGTTGTGAGATGTCTCCTGGGTCTTATGATGGAGAGACATTAAACAGCCTTTTCCTATTTGCTTCTCCCTGTCTCAGTTTTAGGCTCTGATATCCCCCTCAGTATCCTGATCCATGTATCCCTCAGTATTGCTCATTGGGTATTACCTAACCAGATATTAAAAAAAAAAGTGTTGAAACTTAAGTTTTCATGGAATAAAATGGAATGTCTTTGAGGGTTTAACAGCCAGTTAGAGTATGGGGAATTAAGCTATTTTTGCCCAGTTACTTTTAAAGTCTGTGGGGGAAAAGTTGCAGCAGAGTCTCTGGATAGCAGTTAACTGGTAGAACAGCAGGAAAAACTCAGTATAGATAGACTGTAAAATATTGCCTGTCAGGCCAAACATAATGCTCTGAAAAGAGCTTTGGGAATTAACAGCTGATAATTCAGTGAACTGTCAACTCAGTGGAAAAGCTCAGGGTGCAGTAACACTGCAGAAAATCCCCACACAATGTGAAGTCTCTGTAGGAAAGAACCAAGGAACAAAGGAGAGGCGTCTGTAAATTCCTGGTGTGATTCCTACTGCACCTTGGAACCTTGGTGGGATTCTGGGTTTCCTGTCAGGGGCTACTTGAAGTGTGTCCCTGAGGTTCAGGGTGTGCAGTGTTCTCACCTTCCCAAAGTCCTGCACTCTTTGCTCCACAGTTTGAGTTGGTTAAGGAGAATAAAGGAGAACTGGAGAACTGTGACTCTGGATACTTGTTTATTGGTATTCTGTTGCTGCTTTTTGCTGTTCTCCCTCTGCCCCTAAAATAAGGTGTAAAAGTGAAGGCAAATGTGGGTGAGAACTTCACTTTCCATCCTTTTGCATAAATCTTTGTGTCTCCGTTGGTGACATTATTTAACTGCTGTCTGGCCAAGGGCAGTCACATGTGTTGCTGCTGGAGGGTGTAACTTATTCTTTGTCAAATTATTAGACACTTAAATTATCTTCCATCCAAGGAGGGGCAGATGAAGGAGAAATCATGTGCATAAAGCCATAATGAAGGCTGGAAATTGTACAGTTGAATGCAAATGCAGAAGAATGAAATTAAGATCCAGATCAGAACTGAAAATCTGGTTTTCTTGTTGTCTTTAATTCTAGACTCTTGTTATATAGTGCACTGTAGACAAAATTATGCTGTGGAGAGGGTAATTACATAATTAAAGCTTTTGCCTTGGTGCACTTGGACTGAAGAATGAAAGGAACCAACTGGATTTTTTTTTCTGTTTCATGAATATTAAACTATGCAGGGAGAATATCCCTGCAAGCATCTCATGTTCTCATGTATTTCTGCTGCTTTTGGGTAACCCAGTTGAACACCCCAGTTGCTCTCAGGTGGCCTTTTAAGTCACTTGTCCTGGTCATTTACTGTCATGTTTTCTCCTGTGAGGATTTGGCCTGGGAGAAGGTGTGGATAACCACAGCTTCAGTGTGCCTTTTCCTTGGTGAATTTTGAGAGAATCCAGATTTATCTGTCAGTGGGGTGTGTCTGGAGGGATGAGCTGCAGCTTTTAATGAAGAAAAACGGAGGTGTTTGTGCTTTGCATGTTCCTGCAGGGTCTGGGAGCCTCTGAGCAGATGAGAGGCTCAGAGGGACAGTGGGTTCATCCTTTCAGTTCCTTTTTAAAAAAGGAAAACACATACACTGTCTGCTCCATTTGCAGCTGGAAAAATCAGTGTTTTTTTGGAGTTCAGTGGAAGATATGAGAACAAACCCATGGCCTCAGCTTTTCAAAAGCAGTGTCTGCAGTGAGATTTTTCCCTAATGAGTCTGATCATGCACGAGGCAGGAGGGGATCGTGTTTGCTCCCTCACCACTCTGTTGTGGTTTGGTGAGTAGTTACAGCAGCAGCCAGAGCTCCCCAGTGTTTTTGTTTAAAGCTGAATTTTCAGGTCTCTCTAAACCCTCTCTAAAGCCAGATGAACTTGAAAAAGAGCATGTTAGTTTGTGGCCTGCAACTGAATGTTAGTTATAAATGGCTAAATCACCACATGAAGAGTTTCTGAGACGTGTATTTGCTCCTGGCATGTTTTTTAATCTGTTTTGTGTAGAGGGGAAATTCATGGGAGTTATTGACACGAAAGACATATATTGCGAGTCTCAACACACTTGAATTTAAAATTCGGGCTGGAATTTTCAGAGTGCAAGCTTTGAAATGTCATTTTAGGCCAAAAAAAACCCTGTTCTTTTGGGAGAAGGTTTAAAATCAAACGACATCCTCAGAGATTCAGCTCTCTGGTGCAGGCAAGATTAGCTGTTGCTTAAGATAGATTTGTATTATTTGTATTATATTTGTTTGTGTGTGTTTCTAACTCAGTGTACATGAAAAGATTGCTGCTTCCTCCCTGCACGTTCCCACTGCCTCTGGCACAGCTGTTCCCAGGCCAGCATTCCCTGTCAGTGGGCTGGGCAGTGTTGTGAGGGTTTGCAAGGTGGTACTGGCTTAGCTCCTTGTGGTACACTGCCCATTTTCAGTAAATATAGTTCCCTGCAGAGGTATATTCCACCTCTTGTCCAGATTTACAGACTCCTGTAAAACCACCTGAATGACGTTCATGGCTCTAATCTCCAGCTTTCTGGGTTTTTTTTCAGTAAAAGAGGCTTATCTTTGCTTTCAGGCTGAACACGAGGGTCAGACTTTATTGTCATTCCCGAGATGTCCATCATTTCCACTCCAATCCTGTTGTCTGAATTCAGCTTAAGGGCTTAGCTTAGTCCCTGTGGTTTCCTAGAATGAAGAAAGCATTTAGCAAGCACGTTAGTGATTCCGTGTGACAAGCAGGAACAGGTTAGTAGGAAACAAACAACCTGAGCAGAACTGAAGGAGGCTGTTATTGTGGAAATGTGCTGCTTGTAACAGCCCTTGCCCAGTACAGACATCTCCTTTTCTTTTCCCTTGGAGAGGAGGATGGAAATTGGAGGTGAAAACAATGTGCCCAATTTATCTTTGCCCTTTGCAGCTCTGGCCTAGGGAGTTTTCCTTTGCCTTGGAGTAGATCTTCAAGAAACTTTTTTAACTTGAGGTACTGCTGCAGTGTTAAGAGCAGAGGGAGCAGAAGCTCAGTGGTGAAGTCTTTCAGATCTCCCCAAAAACACTGTAGGGGATGATGCTCTGAAAGTACAAGTTAAGGAAGCCCTTGCAGTTGGGAATCAGCTGGTCCTCAGCCAGCCTGGGGACAGACAGAGAGCACTGAGTCTTTGCCTGTCCTGATCCAATTCCTGTGCAGGGGTGAATCTGGACCACTGCTTTCATTTGTGATACATGGTAAATGCATTTATTTCGTTGCTGTTTTAGTCTCTGCACGACAGGGGTGGTTCGTTTGCACATCAACAACTGGCTGGAGGTGAGTTTCTGCCTCCCTCACAAAATCCACTATGTTGCCACCAACTTCATACCCCCAGAAGCAATCGAGAGGAGTCTGAAATCCATCAGGTGAGAGCAAGCTCTGCCCTTCAGGATGTGGCCAGTCCTCCCTCAGTGCTGGGGGTGGTGCTGCAAACATCTGTGCTGGCACAGCTGGGGGATGCTGTGACTGGGCTGTACTGGTGGGGGGCCCTGGGCTGACTCCCTGAAGCTGCTGGATCCGTGGTGCTGTGAAGCCACAGCCTCTGTGTTCACATCAGCTGGTTGGGCTGAGATGATGCTGCAACAGAGGCCTGCACTGTTGGCAGTCAGAGGATCTGTGTGTTCATTTTAATCTTTGACCCAGAAGTAACTCTGCTTTTAGAAGAAAGAGAGCCCAGACCCCATCATACCTTATTTCCTGCATTCTGTGTTTGCAGCTCTTTATCCTGCAAAAGTAACTAAATCTTGCTTTTTTCCTTTCTTCTACTCCATTCTGTATTTCAGTAATGCAGATGAGTGGTTTTCAGACTAGTTCTTCATATCCTGCCAGCACAGTGCAGTCTTTTTTTCCTTGTCACTGGGGTACCCAGTTACCATATAATCTTTTATCCCCTTTTTATAGGGAGCATCTTACCCTGTGACATAAAAATAAGGTCATTTTGAACCCAGTTAGAGCAAAAAGATGATACTAGAAGTTCTTTTTTTACCATTAGACTGACCCCAGGTATCATGGTGTGGGAATAACTAAGCCTTCAGGACAAGCTGCAGTTTACTGTGCAAATGTATTCTATTTTTCTGCAGGCCTTACCATGCCTTATTACTTTTAAATGATGAGAAGTCGTTGCTTAATGAGCTCCCTTTGGACTGCTCTCCTGCCCTGGTGAGAGTAATTAAAACTACCTCTGCTGTGAAGAATTTGCAGCAACTGGCTCAAGATGCTGACTTGGCATTGCTGCAGGTACGGGGAGCTGTCAGAGCTGTGAAATGCCTTCAGCTCACGAGGTGTTCTCTTGTGTGTGCTGGTGGGTCTGTGTGGGGCACGGCTCCCTCGCTGTGAGCAGAGTGCACCAGCCTTGGAGCCTGGGGAGAAGCTGGAAAAGCAAAGGGCACAGCCCTGCAGCCACATCGGGGTGACAGCAGTGCCTGGGGGTCTCCAGTCCCCACCACTGCTCAGAGCAATTCCCTTAAAACAGGTGATCAGAAACTTGTCCGTTCAAATTGTGAGTATGTCCAGGGCTACCTCCCACAGCCCCTCTGCTCCAGTGTGTGACCAGCAACTTTCCTCCTGTCTAATGGGAATTTCCTACTGTCCACCTTGTGTGTGTTGCCTCCAGTCCCATCCCTGTGCCCCTCTGAGGAGACTTGCTCTGACTTCTCTGTGCCTTCCCACGTTCCCCAAACCAGAACAAATAACACTCTTGACTTACAGCACAGTGGCTTGTCTGGGTTTTGCCACGTTGATGTCGAATGGAGGCACCCAAACTGCAAGTGAAAATTTACAGCTGCCATGGCCAAGTAGGTTGCTTCTCCAGGATCTGCCAAGATCTTTTCTACCAAAGATTTCTGGAGGCCTGTGCAAACCTACGTATCAGTTTCCCTTAGTCCATATGGGTGCACGCACTTTGTGGAGTCCCTGGAAGAAGCTCTAGATTAGGCTTGGCCAAAAATTTTGAGCCAGTTTTTCCAAGCCAGCATCTTTCCAAATGCCTTTCCAGTACTGACAACCAGATCTCAGATCTGAATTGCTGGAGGTGATGTGATGAGCCCTTGGGAAGGAAAGTTTGTGCCAGTGGAGGGAATGAGACTCTGGCACTCACACAAAACATGAGGCTGCTGAGAGACCCCTATGGATGACTGTGGTCACTGGGAATGAGATGTTCCATAAAAGAGAAGAGCCAGTCCATGCTAGGAGTCAGTTCAGACCCAGGGACACAATCTGTGTGACAGGGAGAAGAACACAGCTCATCATCACACGTGCTCCTGATCATAGGTCTGCACCAAGGGAAAGGTCGTGCTTTGTAATAATATTCCAGCTCTGCCTACAGTGGTCTGTGGTGTTACTTGGCATTATTTAGCTGTGGGGTGAATGAACTCTGGAAATTCCCTTCTGTTTCTGTAGTTTTGTTCTCCACAAAAAAGCACAGTTAAATGCATCTAATGATACAGGCTGGATTTTGTGTCTCATAGACACTATTTATGTGGCTTTTCCAGAGCCATTAGCAACCACTGACTTGTTTAACACATTAAAATACTTTGTGTAGTTCATTATTGAAATACCTCAGTGCAGTAAGAAGTTAGTGTTGGTTTCCTTTATGTTTGTGTCATAGTAGAGGCTGATTCTTTTGTTTCATTTTTCATGTATAACACTTAATGCATTTTGTGCATAAAGAAAAATAGTTTTTTGGGGCGTGAAAAGTGACTAAATCTCTATTGATACAGTTTGAAGAAATTCCTTTGAGGCAGGAAATACTAAGTTGCTCAGAAATATGAAGTGAATATCTGGAGCTTCATAACCCTGTCAAATGCTTTTTGATGTGCCACATGTTATATTAAACCACGGGTTTATTCTGAAGGCAGGGCGAAAGGATGGAACAGTTTTCTTTCATTTCAGTTCAGACAAGGTTTTTCTGTCCTTGTGTGGAACGTTTGCTGAGAGCTTGAATTGTGCTTTTTGCTCCCCTAATTTTTCCCTGTTTTCTCAATGCAGGTTTTCCAGCTTGCTGCACATCTCGTTTACTGGGGAAAAGCAATTATTATTTATCCTCTCTGTGAAAACAATGTCTACATGCTCTCTCCAAATGCCAGTGTCTGTCTGTAAGTAGATGAGTGTCTGCAGCAGTGCACTGGGGAGGAGTGCAGAGGCACCTTCCTCCTCTGACTGGACACAGAGTGGGATTGTTCTTCATGTATGAATTTGCTGAGACTCTACAATACACAAACCATTACCTGTGCCTGAACTTGCACAGCCAGTGTGGGCAGGCAGGAGCAGCAGAGCAGATCAATATGCTCCTGTGGTGCTGTGGGCCCTGGGAGCATTATTTACCCTGTGAAGCTGCTGTTGGTATTTTTAGTACTCTTGCTCACTGAATGTCCATATCAGGAAGGCTGTATGGACCTGGAGCAAGAGGGAAGCATTTACAAAACAAAATGCTTCATGATGAAGTTAAATGGGTGTTTTATAGGACCGTCTGTGTGTCTGGCACACAGCATCACCTGGATGGAATCGGATCAAGTCAGTGTTGCCATCACTGTTTTACTGTGTCATGTGTTGGCATTTTACACTGTGTGCCTTGTCACAGACAAAAGGCAACGTGGCCATTTGGAGAGCAGGCAGAGGCACTGCAAGGAAGATGTGGAGGCAGTGGTGGGTGTTTTTGCTGTGCTGAAGATTGGCAACCCTTCCTGTGCTGGATTTTGAGATGTTTTTAGACTCTGTGTTGGAACTCGGTTATAGGAAAATAGTTTTAAATCAAAACTTCTCTGATGAAAGTATAAAAATAGGGCTGGAAGGGACCTTGAGGTCATTCAGGAACAACTGTGCCTGTGTCATATATGGCAGTGCTGTTCTTGAAGACCTTTGGAGATGGAAATCTTAAAACAGTTTTCCTAATATTTAACTTGACTCTCCCTCACTTCTAATCAGTCATATTGGTTGTCCTGTCAGCAAAGGCAGGGGGAACAGCCACATCTGCAGCTGCAGTCTGCACATCCAGAGATTGTGTGTATATCCTGCCAATCCCTGCCTCCTCTGGACTGCCCAGTCCCTGTCCCTTTGACCAGACACTGCGCAGGTCTGGACTTTTTATCACTTATATTTGCCTCCTCTGGATTCCCTCCACGCCTTGAATAATGTCCTGGAGCTGAATGTAAGTGCAAAAGCTTCTAGTTACTTCTGCAGGATGCAACATGCCATGAGTATCCTTAGGGTTTTCCCAGATCACAGAGGATATTTCATTTGGCAGTTGGCACTTCTGTAGCGCGTAAACGGATGAATGTCACCCTGACCAGCACTGCAGGACTGATCTCTGCCTTTCCCTCTCTCCTGCAGTTACTCTCCCTTGGCAGAGGCGTTTTCCTGCCAGTTCCGTGGCCACAACCTGCCCTCCATGCTCTCCAAGTTCTCCCTCCCCGTGTCCCTCTCGGAGTTCAAGAACCCACTGGCGCCGCCCGTGCAGGAGGTGAGCGGGGCAGGGCACAACAGCTCCTTGTCCTCCTGCTCCTGAGAACAAGGAATGGTGCTGCTCCTGGAGTGCTTGGTCAGGAACCTCCTGTGGCAGGTTTAGAAGTTTCCAGTTCCAGCTTATGGTTTGTTGTTTCACGTCCCCGTGCCAAAAAGCGGTGGGGATGTTCAAGGTGAACAAAACCAAAGTGCGGCCCTAAAAAAATAAAGGGAATCTTTGTTTTCCTGGAGTGATGTAGTAGGGAAAACTGAAACTCCATTTGGTCTTGTTGCAAACTGTCATAAATTAGGTGGGCTTGAGTGCAAGTTTGTGGGTTCCTCACAATCACATTTAATTTTATTATATTCCATCTGCTCCAAGTTCACAATCTGGTTTTGAAAGCAAACTGTCTGTTCACTTAGTTTTGCTGTGAAACTGGGATTGCTGAAAGGCTATTGGAGGAAGTAGACTCAGTGTGGAGTCAGCAGGAGTCCATGTGTTACAGCATTAGGTTTTTAGTGTTCAGATTTGGGTTAATACTGTGTGGATTTGAGATTTGTGTGCTGTTTTGCTCACGCATCAGTCATGGCTTGTGGCACTTCTGGGAACTGGTGACGTGCAAGAAAGAGCTCAATAATATGAAGTCTCCTGGCTGACAGTGCTCTATTCCCAGATGAAGGGGCTCAGACCTCTGAGCACGGCTCAGTGTGGCAGAGGAAGCACAGGCAGAGTTCTTTGGCTGGTGTCTCTTGGTGTTGTTTCTGGCCTTCAGGCTTGGATGACCTGCTGGCTGCATGAATTCAGCCACTGCTCAGAGACAGGGAAGATCAACATCACTTGTGCACTCGGGCACAACTGGGAGGGAAGAATTTGTTGTAATTACAGGTTGGCAGAGATGATGATCAGAGATAAAGATAAGTCATGATGTAGGTCTAATCCCAATAGTATGTGCTGGTCAGCTGCCACCTTGGGAGGCTGGGGAAGAGCAGGACTTCACAGTAGGTACAGACAAATCAGTGTCCTGAAAATTGAAGCTGAAATCATAGCATTAATTTTATTCTAGCTGCAGGAGACATTCTCAGTACTCCTTTTAAAATTAATTGCTTGCCCTAATACTTCTCCCTCGATACTTCTGGCTGTTTTCAGGCGTCCTACTTTTGTTTAAAATACACAAATAAAGGTCTGCCACTTATTGCTGCAGTTCTGCCTGGAAACAACAGTGTGATAAATGCTTGCCAGAGCTGATGGGGTGCTAATGTGGCTTTTTAGCTGCTCACCTGTCCCTGGTGGGGTCCTACAGGTCAGCAGCACAGCTGGCTTTCAGCATCCTTTCAGCCTGTGTGGAAGGATGAAGGAGGATGCTGTGAAAAGGTACAGGCTGAAAAGAAGACTTGAAAACCGTGGTTGCAGGAGACTTGGGGCCACACTGGGAAGGGGTGTGTGTTTGGAGATGGAGCCCACCATGCACCAGTGGGCTGTTCAGAGCCATGGCAAGTGGCTTTTTGGTGAAGCAAAGTGTGGCATCTCTTGGGGTAGCTTAGATTGGAGAGAGTTTCTAGAGGTATTCATATCAGTACATTTTCTTCTACTTTGATTTACCCATGCAGGACTCTGTATTATTTTTTGTTAGGTGCTAGCCTTTTAAGAGAGGTGACTCCAATCCCTGTCCTGAAGTGATCAGGCTCCAACTAATTAACACACATCCAGTCAATACAATTAATCTAATGAGATGTGAATGGGTTTTTGTTCCACTGTGCAGTGATAAAAAATGCTACACTCTGAACTGTAAATATTGTCAAATTTGCTTTGCCTTTGAAAAAAAATCGAGGAAGTTGGGACCTTTGCCTGTGGTTTTGTTCTTTGTGTGCACAGGAGGGGATGTGAGGTTTTTTAACTTTGAAGATTTTCAGCAGTTGCCTGTTATCTCGTGCTTTCCATCAGGCTGAGGGCACTGCCTGTGCTTCTGAAGGTCATTTGTACTGGAAGGTCAGTGCTGTGGGAGGGGGTGTATCTTCTGCAGACACTGTTATTGGTTTCATGCCATCCATCCCATTTGATTCTTGTCTTAAGCCTGGGATTTGCTCCCTCCTTTTGGCATCTGCTTCTGGGTGGGTAGAGAATACAGAAGGCATTAATAGAGCCCTCCTTAAAAAAGGAGAGCTCTCAGAGCCCTTCCTCCTGTTTTTTACACAAAAGTATTTGAAAGGGGACGAAGTTATTTTTGTTGGATTACTGTTACATGGGTAGAATGTCTCCATTCCTTTGGGTGGATGAAAAAAACGTGACACTCGTTTTTATACTTGGGTGCTGTGGTATTTTTTGGCTGGTTGGAGGTACGAACAACCTGCAAGGACAGGACTGCCTTGGAAGGTGGAGTGCATGTCTACAATCTGCCTTTGGTGTCTGCCAGTCAAGTAGGTGGGAGATCTCCAGGGAGTGGTGTCTGCCAGCCCTGCCAGTGCTCTCAGCTGTGCCCTGTGCCAAGGACAGGAATCCTTGATCATGCCATCTTGGTCTCTTTTCTTGCCTGTGATGCTGAGCAGTGAATTGCAGTTGAACTCTGGTCATTGTGTATCTCTCAGCTGAGAAGATTTTGGTATTCCTGCAGTGCTCTCTGCCTGCTGCCCTCTCTCTGTGTTCCCTGCCGTGCTGGGCTGGCTGTGCTGCAGCAGTGTGAGCTTGAGCCCACACCTACAACTCTGCTGATCTGATGGTATCTGGGTGCTGCTGAGCCCAGGCCTTGTTTTCCCTTCCCACTCCCAGGTGTGTGCACACACACACCTTCCTCCCTTCCCTCTTCCCTTTGCTACAGCTCTGGCTCCTGTCCAGCCTGACTCCATTCCTTTCACTTGTTTCAGCTGCACTAGTTTTCTGCCAGGTTAGCAGGTGGAATTTGCTCAGGGGAGGTCCATCGAGCTCCAGGGCTGGCACAGAGCGAGGGGGTGATTTCTGCAGACCTTGTGCAGCTGGGGGGGTGAGGGGAGCAGAAGCTGTTCTCCCCTTCTCACAGGGAGTTGTCTCTTGGCTCCACCAGGCTGTGTAGTGTCATCAGGACTCAGCAATCCAGTGCAGCCTGGGACTGTCCTGGATCTCACCAGGGTGCAGCCATTGGGTGGGGGGATCCTGGGAGCTGATACAAAGGAGAACTCATGTTCCCTTTCAGTGTTTTTACTGGAAAAGAAGCAGTTTGCATCTCCTCTACCCCGACCCCAAAGAAACTGTCCCTGTTGTGCTGCCTGTGACTGCTGGTTCCTGTCCCCGTGGCACAGCCTTGATGTGAGCACAGAGCACACTGGAGTGGAGCTCTGGGGGGGTTCAGAGGGCTGCACATCCCTTCAAAACCTCCTAGGAAAGCACAGGAGCTCTTGGTGACCCGTGGCCTGGACAGGATCTGTGCCAGGCACTGCCACTGGTGCATGGGAAGGCTTTGTTTAACTTCCTTTGCAGTGCAATGCATTCTTTGCACAATGTTGAAGTTTTACACCCAGCTGCTCTGCACTAAGTTTCTTTGCAGACCAAGAGCAGGGAATGGTGCTCGTGGCTTCCCCTCATCTGTGCAGTAACCTCAGCTACAGTATCTGCTTCAGGAGAAGCTGTGACATCTCCCTACCCTGCCTTCAACAAAGGTGGACCAGCAGGAGGGATCCTTCCACCACAAGGTCCAAGGAGTGTTCCTGGGGGAACCAGACATCCCATTTCCTCCCTGCATCCATAATGCACGTTGTTATTGTTGTAGTTCTCTAATTCTCCCTCGATGGGACGTGGTTGACTGCAGGAAAAAACAGATGGGGAAGCATGACAGCTGCTGCTGAACTAAATCTGTTTAACTTTTCCCTGTTGTTTTAGTAAGTCTGGCTGTCCTGCAGGGAGTCAGGCACTGGGGGATGAGGCCTCTGCCTTCTGCATCCGGAAAACGTGCCGTGCTTTGTGTGGGGCTCAGTGGAAAATGAGCCCGGGTGTGGGGGGATGGAGTGGGAGGGGAGCTGCCTGCACACACTGAATAGGCAGCTGTGTCTTCAGAGAGCCACACTGCACGTGGGACTGCTCTGCTGGGCATCTGGAAGGCATTAGGAGTCACGGGAGCTTTTGCTGGGAGAGGTAGAGAAGTGGTATTAAGATTCATTTATATTCAGTTGGACCGGGTATAAAGTCAGGGGGGGTTAGCACAGTAAGTTAAAAAAATATGTTCTTGCTAGGCCTAAATGGAGGGAATGTTTAAGCTGAGAATTTAGAACTGTTACCTAAGGATTAGACACTAAATGTTTCATATTACATTAGTAGGAGTTTTCAGAGTCTGTTTTCAGTAAAACAGGGAGAAGCTCTAATAGCTGATCTGCTTTCCATAAAACAGCGTGGTTTGAATGCTAAAGAAACATAATATATTTCAGCAAACATCCCTGCACCCTCTTGACTTGGAAGGTGCCATCCTACAAGGCAGCCCTTAGTTCTCAAGTTGGACCTTGAAGAGTGCACGTGTCAAATAACTGGATGGTCCAGGCTGGAGAAAGGGGCTTGTGTGCTTCAGCAGGCAAAGCAAGCTGTGTTTTAACTGAGAGTGTCTCCTCATGTAGTGAGAAACAAGCTAGGATTGAATGCTCCTGGGTTGCTTTTTTCATTTCTCTTTCCTGAACCTGTTGCTGCTCCCAGTTTCCTTAGCTTTTTAGCCCCGGGAAAGAAAACAGCCTTGAAGACTCCTTGCAGGAAATGTGTTTTATTTAACACATTTCTCAAGAGTTTCACAAGTGCTCCCCTTGGTTCCAGAGAGTAGAGAATAAGGAATGCTGGATCTTGTCCCTCCAGCAGTTGGGGCTGAGCTTTCCTCTGGCCATCCCAACCTGCCCAGCTGGGCTGACATGCAGTGCCCATGTTTTTGGGGGCCAGTGCAGCATCTCTGCCTGTGTCAGTCAGCACAAAGCAGGGCATTGTCCCAGTGCCTTCCCTGCTGCCTTGCACGGGCTCTCCCTGTGCCTGGGCCCTGCTGTGCCGTGGGATGGGAGATGCAGGGGATGGGATCAGCTGGGCTGATCTGTGCCAGCAGGAACAGACCAGATGCTGTGGCAGACAGGACCCCTCAGAGCTGGGAAGAGGCAGCATGGGCAGATGGGAAGGATGAAAAGGGAACTTGGATGAAATTTGGAGTGGGTTGGTAGTTAAATTAAGCAACAGAGAATGTTTTGCTTTGTATTTCCCTCACGGTCCTGGTGTTTCAGCCAGAAAAGGCTGGTTGTGGATTCCTGCTGTGCCAGAGGATAGCTGAGGGAGCACAGGCAGTCCTGGGATTGAAGTATACCCTGCCTGGGAAGCTACTCCCAGCCCTTTTGGCTTCAGCAAGGAGCCCAGCTCTGATCAAGTAGGCTGAGACCAGGCACGAAGATAACCCTGTACTTCTGGGGGAGGAGGAGCATTTCCAACAGCCAGCACAGCACAGATGGCTCGGGGAAGCCTCTGCTCCTGCAGACCTGTCTGTAAACTCCATCAGAGCCCAGGAGGAGCAGATGGAGAGTGGATGGAAATTCAGTGTTGGTGTCCAGAAGGCCATGCAGCAGAAGGTGTTAGCAAAGCCTCTGCTGGACCTTATCTGTGAAAACACTCCTGCTGGTGAGAAATGGGCTTAAACCCAGAAGAAGTGGGAGTGGTGTGAGGCACATCTGCAGTGGTGGCACAGAGCACAACATTTGGGCAGGGCCCATCTGCAGGACCCTGCAGCACTGGGGCTTTTTCTAGGACTGGATTTTAAGAGGTACCAAATGCCTGCTGAAGTTTGGCTTAGTGCAGATAACCATCATGGCTCATCAGTCTCCCTGGTCTAGGGAGGATTTTTCAGGCTCACTTCAGTATGGAAGAAGTTTCCTCTAGTTCTGAAGTTGGTCACAGCCCATTTCCAGGTGGCTGTCTAGATATTTCCACAAGAGCAGAGACGTGAAGGTGCAGGATTAGAGAGTGTTGGATAAGACTTTCCATGCACTTGGAGCTGTAACTAAAGCAAGTGGCTCTTTCTGTCACTCATGAAACCACCAAAGTGACCAGTGGAGGTGGGTCTGGGCCAGGCTTCTGCAGGTTTGGTAGAGCCTGTCTTACTGTCTCCTTGAGTTGCCTTGGATTTTTCCAGGGTTGTTTTGTGCTGTGAAATGTGCAGACCTCTTTCATTTGCTGATCAGACATCGCTGTGTGCCAGCAGGTTGGAAATTTAAGCAAAATAAATGAGACATCTTTCCATCCAGCCCTGCATCTGGAAGGAAGGTTTACAGCAACATAATCACTGGATAAACCTCCTCACTGTTCCAGGCTGACTTCAGATGTTAGCAAAGCACTATGTCTTTAGTGTCTTTTGCCAACCTTCCTCTTCTGTAGAGTTTTCATTAAACATGTAAAATGAATTATGGCCTTTCCAAAAAATACGCGTTTGAAGGCGATCCCAAATAATACGTTTTGAGGTTAAAATCCATTGAGCCCCCAAAAGTGGTAATCCCTGAAAAGGCAGGGTGTGGGTCTGTCTGCAAACAAAAGAGGCTTCTTTTGTGATTTGATAGCAGAGGAGGAACTGAGAATTATAAGATTTATGGAAAAAGGAAAATTATGTGGGCTGATGAACTTGGGTTTGGGGCTTTTATTGAGATTTGGCCTGTTACCCTGATGATTAATGCAGCAGAGTGAGCTTCCTTCTCAGAGCCTGAGCTCATGCTGCATGTGTTTCTCTCACCAAAACACTGTTGGTTGCTATGAAATCCCCAAACAGCTTTGTCAGTGAATCAGTGTTCTCAGAGCCCTCAGCTACGGGGAGGGTTGCCTGCAGTGATATGAAAAGGCTTTTCATGCAGAAATCAGACACAACGATGCATTTTGAATGCTCCTCCCAAGCTCCTGGAAACAGGCCATGCCAAGATCCTACAGACACTTGCCCCTGGCTCTGCCCACTGCAGAGCAGGGCTTGGGGGACGTGGGGCAGCTGCTCTGACACAGGTGTTGGGTGTGTTTGATACGAGAGACATCTCTCAGTGCTTGTGAACCTCTTGCCTGCCTGCACCCCGAAACCCCAGGTGCCTTTGTAAGCTTGGCCTGTGTTATTATAGCAGCAAGTGAGGGATACTGACCCTCTGCATTTGCCAAGGCTTCTGCTGCTGGTGGTGGTGCTGTTTCTGTACCTCCCAGCCCTGGCAGGCTCTGATCTCCAGAGCCTCTCCCATGGCTACTCAGCAGTTTCCCATCTCACAGCAAATGGCTCCTATTCCTGGGCACCTCTCCTGGTTTCTTCAGCTCTGCCCCATCCCCCTGCCCTCTCCCAGCTCTCTAGGGGAGCCTGACCTTCAGTCTGCCCATGTGGGACTGACCCTTTGGTGATTTATTTTAGTGGCCCTTGTGTAGAAACCAGCAAACCGGGGCAGGGCTGGTTCCTTGGAGGCCACTGGCTGTGCTGGGCAGTGTTGCACAAAAACATGTTGAACATTAAAGGCTCCATTACAGCCTGAGCACCCACAGAGGCTCTGGGTGTGAGGAATGTTTGTGCCTGGCCACCTTTTCATGATTGGAAAAGAGATAAACTCTCCTGTGGGGTGAAAAGCCTTTCTCATCGACCGGTCAGTCACAAAGTCCGACCTTTGTGTGCTGTTTTGCCCCTGTATTTCATTTCCTGGGTGTTTAATCCCCCGTTCCTCCCTCTGCAGACCCAGCTCATTCAGATGGTGATATGGATGCTGCAGCACAGGCTCCTGATCCAGCTCCACACCTACGTGTGCCTGATGGTGCCCCCGAACGAGGAGGATCTCCGGGCCCAGGACGAAGACATGCCCTTCACTGCCAGAGTTGGAGGCCGAAGTCTGAGCACCCCCAACGCTCTCAGCTTTGGTTCTCCAAGTATGAGCACACCTGTCTCTGCTGTTTCAGACTCCAGCTCACTCCTAGAGCTCCTCTGAGCCCTGCCAAGGGCCAGCAGGCCTTGATAACGAGACCGCTCCTCTCAGTGGAGTCCTTGCTCATTAGGCCCAGCCTTTCTTAAATTCACACTGGCCACTGGTGAAAGTCCTAAGGACTAGTAGACCTTGAATTCTTCTTTTTAAAAAGAAGCAATGCTTTGTAATTTGCCAGGTTCTCATTTGGTCATGTAAAAGATTTTTATGAGAGGTGGTTCCATTTTTGTTTTTAAAGCAGCTCCCTCCTCCCTTGCTGCTCTCAGCAGTAACCCCCGTGTTCCTCTGGCTGCACCACTGTTACTGCCCAAACTTTGGATTTCAGGAGAGAAAGAAAACTGAGAATTTGTTTCAAACACTGGTTTCTGTGGGCTGTGGAGCCACCTGAGGAGACACAGAGCTGGCTCATTCTCACAAATGATTGATTTCTGTTTATGTCTCCTGACTTATTTAATCTCAGTGCCATTCTTCAGGGTGATTTCAGGAAAGTGTTTTTTAAAGAGCATGAGTCAGATACAATGCTGAAATCCCCAAACTTTCCTGCCTGTGCTGTTCTGAGCAGTGTTCCCAGGTTGGGTATGGGGAGAGATCCTCTGTACAACTTTGAGCTTTACAGAAGTCATGACTTAGGGCAGAAATCTTGGAATGTGAGTCAGATAAAAGTCTGTGATCTGCTTCTTCTGGCTCGCTCACAAGAGGATATTGCTTCTTGGCCTTTCTGCCTGCTCCCACCTTCTGTGCTTGTTAGGCTTTTCATGTTACCACTTCACGGTATTCCAGCAGAGCTGGCTGGGAATTTTCTTATCAGATGTTTTTTATGGACTGTTTATGGTCTCCAGAAGTAGAGTTTTTCCACACAAATTGAGGACTTTGTTGAAGCATTTGAATTTCCCATTGAGAAAATCGCTGTGTTGTCATATGACTAATTGCAGATTCATGGGGCATTTGGAGAGCCACTTTCTCTGCTCCACAGATCCAGGGGATTAGTTGGAAAGGCTGCATGGAAATAGCCTGAATTGGTAATCTTTGCATTGTTATGCTGTGGAATATAAAGGTTGTGTGTCTCTGTGTCTCTCCCCCTGATAGCCAGCAGTGATGACATGACTCTGACAAGCCCTAGCATGGATAATTCCAGTGCTGAGTTGATACCTGGTGGGGACTCACCCCTGAATAAAAGGATGACGGAGAATCTCCTCGCCAGCTTGTTGGAACACGAGCGGGAAGCGATCCTGAACGTCCCTGCTGCCCAGAACCCTGAGGACCTGCGCATGTTTGCGAGGTGGGGAGTGAGGATGCAACTCTGTTGGTGTGGACTCAGCCAATCCCATTAGCCTGGGGGGCTGGAGGACACATTCCTTTGGGTTTGTCCCCCTTGTATCTGTTTCATGTGTGCACAGCAGTGTTTGACAAAAACTAATACCTGTGGCATAAGGACTCTTGTTAACAGAGTCCTGGGGGTGTGAAGCAGCATCAGGCCTATGGCTGGACTTCACTGTTTGCCTGCCAGTTCTTCCTGTGTCCACACACACAAAACTGCACAGCCTGACAAACCCTTCTGAGCAGGCCAAAGTGAATAAGACCCAGTGGTGCTGATGCTGCCCTGTTGTGTCTGTTCATTTTAAGGTTTGTGAACTCCATGCAAATATGAGACAAGGAGCATGAGAGACAGAGCCAGCCTTGAAACCTTTTGCAGAGCAGTCTGTGAACGTTTCAAGGTGTGTGTTGCAGCAATGAGAGCTCCTTGTGTTAGGTTAATTAGGTTGAAGGAATTAGGGGGTGTGATTAGTAGCACACATTTTGTTGTTACGAATTTCCACACAACAATAACACACACAATGTGGTTCTGCACGTGGTGAGAGCAGAATGACTTCCTGAGCAGCCATCTGGGAAGAAGGGAGGGAGGGGAGGAAATGCTTTTTCTTCCTAAGGATTGCAAAACTCAGTGGCATCACTGGAATGCAACTTTCACTGGTTTTCATACTTGTGGGGCAGAAAACCACCCGAGGCAAGGGCTGCAGCTGTTCAGTACTCCTGGGTTCAGTTGGTAATCCCCTGGAAATCTGGTTCTCACCCTGGGGTGGTTACAGTCAGGTAGCCCAGGAAACTGCAACAGCAGGAAAATACTTTCCTTGTCTGCAGTAGAGTACAGCTGAGGGACTTTGACAGAGCTCTCGAAGCTTGTGGGTAGTTACTGCTCTCTGAATCACTTGCCTCCTTCATCTTCTGCAACTGTTCAGAGGATATTTTCTGATTGAGAGGCAACATTTTGGCCGTTTGAGAACTCTGAAGTGGTTTTTCCCTGTTACCAGCTAAATCATTACAAAACCAGTGAGAAACAAAAGTAAAAACAAAATCATATTTAATGATATCTTAAGACAGAATTTGTGGGGGGACTTTTTGGACCAGTTCAGTGCCAATGCAGATTCTTATTTATCCTAGGGAGAGGAAAGCATGTTGTAATTGCTCCCCTCTCACTTCCCTCATCTGAGTAAAGGAGCCATTTGAAAAAGCTTTGGAACTGCAGATGCAAAAAAATGACTCTGATTCCTTTGTGAGAGCAGCTGCTGTGACCAGGCAGCTGAGTGATGTGAATTGTGCAGTTTGCTCCTGCACCAGGTTCTTTTGCAGATCCCCAGGATGGCCTTGCTGGGTCTGAATTTCCAGTGTGCTACAGCTTGGATTGACAAGTGCTCAGGGGCAGTGAGGGAGGGAGGAGATACAGTAAACAGATGGGTCCTGTGGGCACACACAGAAATGTTTGTGTGAGACCCTCTTGGTTACCAGTGGCTGTTTTAGACACCATAACTTGGAGGCTGTGGGTGTGTTTTCTCTCTTTTTGTGCCATAACCCTCAGAAATGAGTGTCTGGGTAACTGTTGCTCTCAGTGAAAGGGTAAAAGCTGTGGAGAAGCTGCAGTGAGGGAGCTGCTCTCCCTCATTACCCTCATGCAGATGCTGTACCAGCCCTTCCTCTCCTGAGTTCTGAGGACCAGCAGCCCACGGGAGGCTGTGCTCTGGCAAACAGCTCTGCTGGCTCAGCTGCCTCCCAGAGCAAAGTGCTACAAATGCAGAGCTAGTGCCCTAAATATCCCGTGCCTGCCCTTCCAAGGGGAGCTGTGTGTGCACACTGAGGGATGGGCTGTTTCCAGCACAGCAGGGAACTTCAGCCAGGTACATTTTCCTGTGCTGACAGCTCTGAGCCTGTTCCTCCTTACACAGACTGTGTAATGACAGGGACACAAAGTGCTGCTGCCCATCCAGGGCTGTGCACAGCCCCTCTTTGCAAGGCACAAACCTCAAGGGGAAACAAGGAATACTGGCCTTGGCTCCAGCACTGGCTGCATTAACCCTCATAACAGTGAATGGGAATTGAAATCAGAGTCCTTTCCTTGGGTGCAGCTGGAGGAGGGTTGGCATGTCCTTCCAGAACAAGCTTAAGAGGCAGACAAGTTCCTTTTGAGCTGGATCTTGGGTAATGCACACAAAGCATTCCTCACTGCATGTAAAGCAGGGCTTTTGAAGAAGTCTGAGGCTTCACTCATGGCTTCTCTCCCAAGCCATGGGTGTGGAGTTGCTTTCAGGATTTATTTTTCTTGCTCTTAGATGGGGAGGTGAGATCCTTTACTCCACTTGGAATGCTCATTGGCAGCACCAAGCTGTGGACAGTTCTGCTCCATTTTCAGGCAGTGCTGTGGAAGGGATATCTTGGCCAGAAATAAGCTAATTCTGTTTGAGTGACTAGTCTGAGATAACTGTGGGGGTTTTTAGTGTGTAAGGACACTACAGTGCTGTTACAGGGGCAGCTCTTGAGGAGGGGAGAGCAGTGATGAGCCATGGAAAGCAATAATCTCCCGTCACTGCATCTGGATCTGGCCACAGCAGACACTCTGTGCAGCTTCAGAGGGACTCAAATGCAGTGCCACTGCCCCAAGAAGTGCCATCTTTGTGTCCCACAAATGTTCATTGCCCAAAAAGGTGAAGGTAGTGCCCATCTCCACTGGAGCTGTGAGCCCCAAGTACAGCTTTGTAGACTCCAGTTGGACTTGAGGTAAAAGCTCTTCCCTGGGAGGGTGGTGCAGCCCAGGACAGATTGCCCAAGCATGTGGGGGGATCTCCATCTCTGAAGGGTTTGAGCTTGGCTGGGAAAAGCTACAGCATTGGCAGTAGTCCTGCTGGAGCAGGATGCTGGACTGGGCTTTGGAGGTGTCTTCCAGATGAGATTTTTGTGATATTCTTTAATATCCTCCCTAGCTTTTATTGGAGTGGAAAATATTTGATCTTGACCCATTACAGATCCAAACTTTCTGAATATAGGATGGATTTATTTGTTGGAAAGCTGCTCAGTCTGTGTTGCTGTGGAAAGCCAGGCTGTGCCATTTGCACAGAACAGGCGAGCACATGGGGCTGGCACAGGCAGACAAGACACAAAATCACTTTGGGAACAGTGACACAAGTTATAACATACAAAAATTTCTGTTGATGCCTCAGGGAACAGCCTGGTTTTGACACACAAGAAGTGACACTGTCCCTGGGAATGGCCACTTTTAGCCTGAGCAGCAGAAGGCAGCCAGGCAGGTGTTGGTCCTGCAGGGAAAGCATGAGAGGCCCATCCTGCTGCCATGTGAGAACAGACAGGAATGCTCTGGTGGATACTGGGTGTATTTTAGGGCTGTTCCTGCATGAGGGCTGTATGGATGGGTTGGAAAACAGATCATGTCATCTCCACTCAGCTTTACTGTCAGTTGGCATGAAGCTGCACAGGGGTAATGGAACACGAGCTGGAGTGCAGAGTGTGATGTGTAACACATGTGGATGCACATCTGTCTGTGGAGCTGGGGAGGGGTTCTGGCACTTGGGCCTTGATGGGTGGGAGCACTGGAGTGACACGTGCAGGATGGCTCTGACATTTGGGAGGGTGGGACAAGAGACTGAGCAGCAAATTTGGGCTGTGATTGACTGTGCAGGGCCCAGCTTATCTGATGGCTGTAGCATGTGGGTGATATCTGTGCTGTCTCTGTTTAAAGACAACTGGGAATTTAAGAAGCCAGCACAGTTTGAGCTTAGGCTTTAGAGTTTATGGGCTTATAACTCCCAGAGCTTCTCTGTGGTGCCTGTCACCAAAATTTCCACCTCCCTGTTGTGACTGCTCCACCCAGCCCAAGCTGCCCAAACCCTGAGTGAGTTTGGGTTTTGTAACCTGTAGTTACAAAGCCCCTTGGGCTGCTGGGAGGGAAAATTTCCTCTTAATTCCAAAAGCCAGTGTAGGTACCCAGGCCCCTGGTGCAGAGCTGTGACAAAGGGCACTGTAGGCCCAGCTAAGAGAGAGCAAAAGTAAATCTGCCACATCCTGACTTCTCAAGGCTTGTTTGCACTTGTGCCTCTCCCCTTTCAGGAGGTATAACTATGTTGAAAATTGCCAGCCTTGGGAAATGCCACAGGCTGGGAAACCTCTTGATCTAAGGAGGACCTTGGCAAAGCCCCTGCTTTTCCAGGGGGTTTCTGTGCTGGGCATGATTTAATGGTACCATTATTTAATTCACGCAAATGAGGGACACAACCCAAACACCTTCTGATCTGCATCCCACGGGAGGGGACACCTTGGGGGTGGCAGGATGGGCTCTAGGTGTGTGCAGGTGCTTTTGGCCCACCTTTGTGCCCCCCTTGCTCTGCTCCCACAGGCTCCTGCACTACTTCCGAGGGCGGCACCACCTGGAGGAGATCATGTACAACGAGAACATGCGGCGCTCGCAGCTGCTGATGCTCTTCGACAAGTTCCGCAGTGTCCTGGTGGTCACCAGCCACGAGGACCCCGTGATTTCCGTCTTTCAGTCCCTCCTGAAGTGACTCTGCTGGCACAGGAAGGGAACCTGCCACGCTCTCCCTGTCTGAAAGATGCCTAAACGCTGAAGGAGGTGATTTCTCGCCACGTGGCACAGAGCAGGTTCTCCCCCTCCTCCATGTCCCCCCTGCTCCCTGTGGTGACAGCCGAGGCCACTGTGCCGGGCTCTGGGCCTGCTGCAGGACAGCACGTGCCTGCCCAGCCAGGATTCCTGCTGTGCCACAGCCACAGCCCTTCCCTGCTCCTGCTGCCCCCAGGGACTGTGAGAGAGGACAAGGAGAGTTCCACTGTGGGGCTGCTGACAGACTGTCACCTTCTGCTGGATGCTGGTGCATAGAAAGTGCTTCCTCTGCTCTCCAGCACGACTCCTGAGCCACTCAGCCATGTCCCCACAGCACAGCCTCTGCTCCAGGCACAGTGGAGCTGGCCTGGATTACAGGGAAATGACCCTGGGTACCGAGGAATTCTGTTGATCGTTGTTACCTGAGGACGTGGACAGGAAGGCAAAGGATCACAAGTAAACAATTCCATGAATGAATGAGTGACTTGCTCACTGTGTCACAGCTCGTTCTTCCCTCACCCCACTATCCTCTTCCCAAGTGCTGTTGGAGCAGGGCTGTCTCCAAGCAGCCTGTGTGCTCCTGGGTTTCAGTGTTTCCATTTTTTTCTGGGGGTGGGAGCTGGGTTGTTGAGCAGGACTGAAATGAGTGGCCAAGCTGGAAGTGCACATGTTCCACACAGCCAGAGGCTGGTCCCAAGGGCACCTGAGCTTGTCCCCCAGGGCTTGTCCTGCCATTTTCCTCACCCAAGCATGGCTGTGGATGCTGGGAACCAGACTGGGATCCTGGCCTGGGTTAAGGCTATCCAGGGAAAAATGAGATGGGGGTCTGTTTCCTGGTCTGGTTTGAGACTGCTCCTCCAGCCATGCCAGGGCCAGAACAAGAGGTGACAGCTCTGGTCCTGGGGACAGCAGGACTCGTGTCAGCTCACCCTGGCCTTGTGGGGCCACTGTTCCCACAGCTGCTCCCTGCTGCATGCCCAGGGAAAGGCAGGGAGAGCTTTACCTCCACTGTGGCAGCTTGCAGGGCTTTGTTGTTAAAGGGTTGTCAGGCTCCTCCTGAAGTCCTTCCCTCACACTCAGCAGCTGGAGTTTTTCCCAAGCTCTCGGGAAAGCCTCACTGGCCCACACAAACTGGGTGACACCAGGAGCTTTATCTCACTTACCTACCCAGCAGCAAAGCACTGGGGGAGGTCCAGCAGCTGGGAAAACAAACAGAACCCATTCTGGGCTCCAGGCTGGACACTATGGAAGGGTGTAGGTTGGAAGGGGTCTCTGGAAGTCTTTTGTGCAAACCTCTGCTCCAAGGAAAGGTGTCAGATCAGGTCACTCAGCAGCCTGTCCCGTGGAGGTATGAACATCCAACAGCTCCTCTGGGCCCCTGTTCCAGTGTTTGACCACCCTCATGGTGAACATTTTTTCCACAGAGCTAATGAGAATTTCCTGTTTTCCCACTAATGCCCATTGCCTCTCATCCTGTCTGACAGCAGCCTGGCTCTCTCTTCTCTACACCCTCCCATGAGGCAGTTGCAGATAACAGTAAGATCCCTCCTTTGTCTTCTCTCCCAGCTCTCATCCCTTCAGTCTGCCCTGCTGCCATCCCGTTTTTTGACTATTCCCCTCTGCTGGGGGCTGGGGCAGTGGGAGCAGCACAGCAGCTCAGAGCTGGGAACCTTCTCCACTCACCCACCCTAACTAAGCCTGGATCCATTGGTAGGGGAGAAAGTGGCCTTCAGTGTCCAAACCAACATCAACTCTGGCTGGGAGGCCCAGTCAGCCCTGCAAATAAACTCCACCTTGCCCCACTCCTTGTGACAAAGTACATTTATTGTTAAAAACCCCCAACCCCTGCCTCTGCCACGAT